CACCGTCTGTTGCCTGGTGACATCGGGGCCAAAATTGCTGTTGTTACGTAGCAGCTGGTGAAGCCAATCCACAGCTGCAGAGGCTGTGAAGCAGGAGGAGTAATGTCGGAAGTTCTGGCGGTGTTTCCTGAGGGGCATACCCGCCCGAAACAAGCGAGTCACCTCATTCCACTGAAAGAAGACAAAGAGATGTTTAGTATAGTACAGTACAACTTATAAGCAAGGACTTTTCACTTTGTGTTGATTCTGGCGCCCCCTGTGGACAACACCGTAGTGTTTGGTCTCTGTTCGTTTACAGTATTAAACTGAGACTGTTTCATAACCAGTTAAAAACAACTTGTAGTATGTTTAATATTCAGACTATGGTTCCTGTAGGACATTCTTAACAGCATGGACCAGAGAAATAGGGATGATTCAAATTCATTGATTAGTGGTGATAAAGAGTAAAACCTCCAGCAACAGTACACATTTATTGTGAGACTAACAGTTTGGGCCTGTGACCGTCCCCGGGGTCATCCCAGAGCCACCGGTCAACACGTCATTGTAAAGTTTGTCTTTGTACTACAAGGGCTGCTATTTCCCACCTCCATGCAACTTGGAAGTACATGAATTTGAATAGCTGAGCTGTGAACCTTAAGTCAGAGTACCCCCCCCCAAACTGGGGCATTGTGAGAGGCTCTTCTGACATCTTACAGATTAAAAGATGGCTAAAATATAAACCTGGCTGACAATGAAAAGAATTTATAAGACATAACTACCCTGTTAATGTCTCATCACCCCTGCTTTAGTTCACACACTGTCCAGCAGCCAGATGTCTGGCTTTAATTGGTTCAGGGTGAAGTTGTGTTAAAATAGCAGCTAATAGTTAGTCTATCTTTTTTTTTTAGACAAAAGAGGGCAATTGAAATCACTGACAAGGCATTGGACTGGGATTTTATAAGTTAGTTTTAATAGAGCTGATACAATAAGACATTAAATTGATTAGTCGCCTGTAGGGAAAGGATAACATACAATATTATCGTGTATCACAATAAAATGCTTGTTTTCATCGTGGTAAGTTTCCATTATGGTGATAACTGAATATCCTCACATGGCTTGACTTGAAAAAGCAGTCTAGCTCGCCAGCATACAGTCCTATATTGGTTTCCTTATGCATTTTGAACAAGGGGACAACAGGGAACCCACATCTTTCCAGATACAAAGGTTACACCTGATGTGTGGAAATGGTAGAGATTCAGAATAATACAGATACACAACAGAGATGAGGGGATGCAATAAATGTATGTGTTTCAGAACTAAATATAAGAAGATAGCATAAGTTATATTTTCATGATTATCTTGATAATATATAAATTATAGATATAGAAGATAACTAACATTAAATGTTCATATCGTCCCATGCCTAGGTGACTGTCAAAAAAAAAAAGATTTTTCTAACAGTGGATGTTTTAATATATCTATTAAATATATTATACAACGTTATATATATTAAAAATTGAAGAAGATATTCCACGTCCTCAGTTTTGAGTAACTTTAGAAACTCCATGTCCTCAAAGACAGTTAAACTCACGTTAATATTGTTGGGTTTGGGACTGTTGGTCGGACAGAAACATTTTATAGACCCACAATATATATTAAATCGATTAACAGAGATAAGAAAAATAAAATAATTGTAACGTTGAAGCCATAGTTTCTAAAACATTTCAAACACGGAGAACAACATATCGTTAGTAGGAAGAGCTCATGAAAGTGTTACTGAAGACTTTTACACAAACCCCCCCCCCACAATAAAGTGTGTAGTTTATTTTAAAACCAGCTATATCGCTGCCATTGACAGTAATGTTAAGTCTTCATGAATTAAGCTCGCCATTAACCAGCTCCAGCTAGACTAACTAACGTAATGGCGTTATGAGCAGGCGATGTTTGAACTTACCAGTTTGGTGGCTCGGTACGGCCCAGGGGTGATAACATGAGCACTCATATTCATCCGCAAAAGTGTTCACTTCATCGGCTGTGACAGGAGGCGAAAAATATCCATAACTCGGGCGGGGGGGAGGATTTATGGATGTTTTGCTACCAGCTTTGTGAATGGCAGCGTTGGTGAGTCTCTCTGTCTGCTTCTCCCCCGTCGGTTCAAAATTACGAGCCGCGTCCTTCTGGCACGGGATTGGACGGCGGGCGGGTCACGTGGTCGGCCTCGAACTGAGGGGGGGGAGAAAACACAACAAACCGGAGGGCAGCTAGAATAAATAAATAAACTTTAATAAAAAGGATTTTACTGTGTCAGAATATGTGCTGTCAGCGGTCAAAATGCGAGAGTGTTTTACTGTTAGTGTTTTTAACGTTGATTGTTGTGCTTCAGTTTGTCCACTCTATTGTATTCACTGAGCTCACACTCTTTTATTAGAGGGGGGGGTGATCACCAGTAGTGCCAGACAAAAGACAGTGGAAGTTAGAGACATTTCCAAAAGGGATAAACACTGGGAGTGCGGGGTTAACTCAAGCCACTGCTATAGGCATGCTAATGAATGGAAACAGATACTAACACACACACACACACACACAAAAAAAATCCAGCTTTCTGCTTTAAAAGATTCCCACAGACAAGTAAGACATATACAAAACACTTGGATTAAAAAAACTCCCTAATGGACCTATTATTCCTACTTCACTTAAAAGTCTTTTCTCAGTCTACGTGCACCGGAGGTTTCAAGTTTCAGCATCACACTTGTATAAAAATGTCTATTAGAGTAGGATTGTTGTCTTAAAGTCAGATTTACGGTAAGTGCAACAACAACAACAAAAATCCCCTGTTTAGCAGATGGATCGGCAAACAGGCTTCTGGTATCAAACTTTGCACATTCCTCATTGTGCACAGTGCAGGTCAAACATCACCACAAGTGAGGGTGGGGTTAACTCAAGCCACTGTAATAGACATGCTAATGTGCCCAAACACTAACGCAATAAATCCAGCTTTCTACTTTAAAGATCTCCCCCCAGATAAAGTATGACATATAAAACTCTCTTCTTGGTTTAAAAGATGTTTAGTCTCTAACAACCCCCACCCCAACAAAATATGTAAATATTGTTAATATCAATGTCAGCCTGTGTTTCTCAGTGTGCACTGCAGGTTTCACACTTTCACTACTCGCTGTGTAAATTGCATATTGGACCAGGATTAACTTTCAAACTGGTTTAGAAAACATCCCCTCTTTAGCAGATGAATCTGCAAACAGGATTCTGTGGTATCCGGTATGGTAACTTTGCACATTCCTGATTCTGCACAGAGCAGGTCAAACATCCAAGTAAAGCCTCCCTTTTTCTATGTATACCATTCTAATCATTTAAATTAAAAAGTGCAAACTGGAGGACATTATAAAGCTCATTTGACCCTTTGTTCTTAATCTCCCTGCTAGTTGCTGCTAGTGCAGTTGTGTGTCTGTCGTTCCCATGTTCTGCTTATTTCAATAGCAATGTTGCTTAAAAAAGCAAACCACAAACCCACTGTTAACCCACTGTGAGCTTTGAGGTACAAATGCTTCTCTCTTTTTTGCTGCTCTCCGTTACACAATGCTTAATCACCTCAATATCTATAGAAAAAGATAAAATCTGATGCTTGAATACAAAGCACAAGGCCTTGAAAGGGGAACATATATTCTGAACCAATACACTGTACAAGTTTATACTCAGCTCCTAAACACAGCTGCCCCCAGCTGGTCATCCTGGGTGCCTTCAATCTCCACCCACTACTGGGATGGCAAAGCTGAATTATAACCTGTGTACAAAACTTCTTTTACAGTGTGAATTTTATTTATATATTCATCTTCTGGTACATTAATATCCCTTTGCTGTTGAAAAGTGCTCTATATATAGAAATTATTATTTTTATTGAATGGTGTTTAAACTGTCGTTTACAACGTTATACACAGTGTGACTGAGAATAATGTACATTACTGGATTAAAATGATTGATGCATTGCTTTGAGGTGCAGTTACTTTCATACTGCAGTTGGTAAAGGTGCAGCTAATTGCAACTACAGTTGTCACATTTATGTAGTAGAATAAAAAGTACAATTTCCCTCTGAATTGCAGTGGAGCAGAAGTATAAAGCGGCAGAAAGTGGAAATACTGTATTTCTGAAGGAAGGGCTCTTATACAATGTCACTTTTTATTGTGGAAATCAGGTTTGCACTCGAACAATCCTCGCAGGTACAGTTTTTAACAGTAATTTCATGTGTTTGTCAATACTTATTATCTCCAGAGAAACCTGTGTAACGCCTTAAAAGACTGCCGTGACCCGGATTCGAACCGGGGTTGCTGCGGCCACAACGCAGAGTACTAACCACTATACGATCACGGCGAGCTGTCGACCAGGTGATACAAATGTGGTTTCTACGAAGACACTTGACTTCTCTAACAGTGCACACGTTTAGTTTTGTGACATATCCCAGTTAAAAACGTTAATTTGTGTATTCAGGCACAACATGAAGTTATTATTTATGTCAAACACAGAATTAAACCCGAGTGAGCATCAACGTGCACCTTGAAGTAAAGATCGCACACACAGACAGAGAGATCACTCTGTAGGAAAACGTCGGACCTATATCTGGTTTAGTGGAGATACATAAATAACTCGTGTGCTCTACTTCACGGACATTTTAGACAGTTATGTTTTAGTTGTTTTTATTAAAAATTACTTTCGAACTAGGAGGAAATGGCAAAAAAAAATATAAGAGTAAATTAGTCATTTTTATTTAGTGGTGTCGTAAAATAAGATTAGAGTGATACATCTTCGTTTTTTTAGCTTCTCAGATTATAGGCGTGGCTTAAGGCAGTTTAAAAAACCTAGTCGTTCACTGATTGGTCGCTAGCTGTGTATTCATATGGATTCGATCTGTTCTCTCTCCCCATTGGACAAGAGGTTGCCCTCCCTCGCCTGTCATTGGCTGATTAAACAACACAACCGATTTCAAACCAGATCGTCAGTGTGTTGTGGACGGAAGCGTGTTTTAACGTTTGCTTTAGGGGCAGAACTACTTCTAGTAGCAGCGCACATGGATTGCTAAACGTTTTAACTAACTTCGTAACATGTTCTTAGCTATTAAGCTACTGTTATTTTTACATTTAACATGGCTGAAACGGTAACTGCATCGCGGAGAGGAGTTTTGGACTTCAGTCCAGTAAAGAGAGACGACGCCAACAAGGAGAATGATGTTCCGATTTTGAGTTTGATCCAGTTTTCAAAGGCTCCGTTTGTGACGTTTGGATCGGTAAAGTTGGGATCCTCCAAATCGGCTGTTTTGCGAATTGAGAACCCTACAGAGGATGCAGAGGCGGAGGTTAATGTCGAAAAGATCCCCTCAAGTAAAGGTTTTTCTGTGGACCACAACACGTTCACGATTCAGGTATGTATATTTCTATACTTCAGAGCCCGTGGACCAATTGTGATGCACAGGAGCTTTATTATGCCACAACACAGCAATCAATATACACTTCCTACTGCATCCACTGTAAAACTGCAGCTGGACCAAACCTTTGCTTGTGCTTTGTGTTTGCAGCCTGAGGGTTCATTCAGTTTGACAGTAACCTGGACTCCATCAGAGGAAGGTGGAATCAGAGAGCTCATCATCTTCAATGCCAATGGGGTCCTCAAGCACCAGGCTGTTCTGCTGGGGAGAGCAGAGGCACCAAAAAAGAAAAAGGTAAATATCCTCAAGCTGAAAAAAAGAGCCTACATTCAAATATTTGATTCTGACAGAGCCACAGCCATTAGTAGGATTCACAGAAAATAACTTGGCAACTAGTTTGGTAATAAAGGAAGTCGTTATTTTAAATTTAAAAATTAACAAGATGCTTTTTAAAGCTGAAAAAGTGCAGTTTTTTCTTTTTTGGACAATTTGTTGGATGTTCTCTAGGGAATTGTGATGGGTATTTTTGAACTGTTTTCTGATGGTATATAGCCAAAGAGATTAATTGCGAGTATAATCAGCATAATAGACTAATAGATTATGAAAATGTTAATCAAGGAGCCCTAAATTCAGTCCTAATTTGTTGTAGTTCTCAAAAGTGTGGTTATATTTAAGTTGCACATTTACAGTTTAGTTTTTTAGTCAAAACTGCTCAAAATATTTTGCACACCTCTTTACTTGCATATTGCATATAGTGTATATACTTTTAATTTATAGTCTATATTTTCTATTATATTGTGTAATATTCTTATTTTGTTTTCCTATGCTGCTGTGACTAAGATTTCTCCTACGTGGAATCGATAAAGGTACATCTTATCCTAACACGGTCATTTACATGCTTTTCTTTTGTGTTTCAGAAAAGCTTATGGGACACAATCAAAAACAAAAGAGAAGGTGAGAAAGTAGCTGCACCCAGGAGAAAGAAAACCGATCAACCACTGAAGATGGCAGCCAATAAAACCTTCCAAGTGTCCAGAAAGCCACAGTACAAACGGGACAAGCCCCGCAGCCCACTTGTTTCTCTCAACGAGGGCAAAGCTGTCAGAGAGAGGTCCCTCTCGAAGCACAGTCCCGTTGACGATTACCCTCAGATATCAGAGGAGCAGAAGGCCTTGAATTCCACCTTGAGGCAACGGTCTCTGGTCTCATCAGACCAGGAGAATATCCATCATGTTCAGAGGAACTCTCCTCTTGTCCTACTCGTCCCAGCCGGAAAGCTGATGGACTCTGGCAACATGTCTGCGAGCCCAGATGCTTTGGCGGGCAAACCTGAAAGCAAAGATCTTACCAAAATGCTCAACAGGACGCTGTCTCCTATTGGGACGCCAGAGATGTTTAGGAAGCTCATGCCTCACATACAGTCAGATAGCCCACTTTCTGCTACTGTAAAGTCTGTGGCTGATGCTGATGGCGGCGATAGTGTGTTAACTGGAAGCCCAGTTCTCTCTTTGAAAGATGCACTGGCCCTCATTGACTCTGATCTGAGCCAAATGAACACCAGTCCTCGAGACACTAGTTCGAGCTGTGGCTTTTCAGATTCGCTGGAATCCAAGAGTGGGAATTGTGACCGTGGACCTGACAAAAACCTCCTCAGAGCTTTACCCGATAGCCCGCTGGAGTTCAACGAGCCAAGACTTACTTTCTTTGTCAGCAAGAATGCTGCGAGTGAGGTTGTTGTCTCACAGGCGGATAAGTCTACGGAAAGGGTGAAAAAGGCCTCTTTTACTTCTGCTACAGTGACCAAGAGCAAAGCACCAGTGGAGGCAAACAGTTCGAGTGGAAGGAAAATAAAGAAGTCAAGGCGGAGGCTCTTAGAGAAAACACTTGAGCTCTCTGATGGCAGCAGTCAGTGTGAGTCTCGACCAGACACTCCAAGCCTGCCTGTTATAGACCCAGACACAGGGATCAAGGGATGGCTAAACCCTGAAGCTGCAAGCTCCCTGTGTGACGACAGACATCAAGCCCAGCAGTTTATGTACTCCAGCTTGACTCCACAGCTCGACAGCCCCCTTCCATCTATTGCTCCTGCTCGCTTCTCTTTCTCAGTCACTTCCCCTCCTCCTACACTCGCTGCTCCCATTGTTTTTACTGCCACCTCTCCCTCGCCTTTGGGCTCATCTTCTCCTCTACACCTCAACTCCACATCAAACCCCAGTGTGTATGAGCTGTCTCCAGCTGTTCCCGCACCTCCGCCCATTCAGGAAGACTCATTTCCCGTTTACATGGCCGTGAAGAGCAAGAAGAGGAAGAGTGAGGAGTATCTAAAAAGTGATGGGAAGGTGGGGGATGCCGCGAAAACAGAGCGTGCCAAAAGGACCAGGGTGGTAACAGGAAAAACTGAGCCCCCAAGATCGGTCCAGGAGAGGAGAAGTGCATCACAGAGGCAACAACTGAGAACAGCAGGTGAGCAAATGTGAAATATGTCTGTCTTCTTAAAGGTCCACTGTGTAATATTTAGGAGGGTCTATTGGCACAAATTTAATATAATAAGCACAACTATGTTTTCATTAGTGTATAATCGCCTGAAAATAAGAATTATTGTGTTTTGGTTAACATAGAATAAGCTGTTTCTATCTACAAAGGCAGTGGGTACACCTCCCATGGAGGCCGCAATGTTGAACGTGAACCACCGTGTTTCTACAGTAGCCCAAAACAGACAAACACTGACTCTAGATAGGGCTGTTGTTGCACGTTTCCCAACCACCATATTTTCTCCTTTGCACCTAAAAGGGTGAATCAAGGGAGTTGTAATCTGCAACTACACGCTAGATGCCACTAAATCCTACACACCGGACCTTTTTAAACACCTGCTGTATTTCTTGACACTCTGTATTTACTATAGTGCTTTACACCCCCCCCCCTCCCCAGGCTCGGTGCGCTCCATGACTTCATCATCTCTAAAAACTGCACGGCCTGCGGTTCCTGCCCAGGCAAAGCAATCAAGCTCCAAACTCACTTCAAGAGGTATAAAGTGATGTTTAATTGCCTTCTGAAGGAGAATACCTCTCACATGAGAGTTCTTTGCTGTTCTTGTGTTAATGTATAAGCTGCTGTTCAAATCATATTTATTTTCAAAACTTATTTATGATGAAATGCACAATGCCTTTGTTATTTGCTCACAGGTGCCCTGTCTCTAAAGTCGTTTGGTGCTCGATCTGTGAAGACGGCAAAAATTGTTGCTGTAGCACAGTCAAAACTGACCTTTGTTAAACCAGCGCAAACAGGTATTTGATGGTAAAATATTGTGACATGAGCTTTTGTGGTGCGTTAATGCACATTTTGCTTTTGTTTATCTTGCACCTTTTATTTTATTTTCTGCTCTGCTCGCAGCCATACCGAGACACCCGATGCCATTTGCTGCCAAGAACATGTTCTATGATGAGAGGTGGATTGAGAAGCAGGAGAGGGGATTCACATGGTGGATCAACTACGTCCTCACCCCAGATGACTTTAAAGTCAACACTGAAGTCGCTAAAGGTAACATCCATTCTGCAGGGTTTCACTACTCTAGAGTCTGAACAATAAATGAGTGTCTAAGCTCTTCGTGTTTGTACAAGGGACTGTAGAAGTCTAGAAATCTCGAACATGGCCTTTTTTCCCGTTTGTGTCTTGTGTAGTGAATGCTGTGTCCATTGTCATGGGCAGCGATGACAAGTATAGTGTGCCCAAAGCTCCCACCAGAGAGGAGATGTCTTTTAGCACCTACACGGCCCGAAGGAAGCTAAACCGCCTCCGTCGTTCTGCCTGCCAGCTGTTCACATCTGAGGCCATGGTCAAGGCTATACAGAGGCTCGAACTGGAGGTGGAGGCCAAGAGGCTGCTCGTCCGCAAAGACCGCCATCTTTGGAAGGACATCGGTAAATGAACAGTCCATTAGGAAGCCTGCATGAAGTTGTTTGTAAATGCTCTTAAGTTCGTATCAAACCCTGGATAAGTCTGAAAGTATTCTCGTTTTTCCTTATCTTTTAGGTGAACGCCGAAAAGTCCTCAACTGGCTTCTTTCATACAATCCACTGTGGTTACGGATTGGGCTTGAGGTATTCTGATACTACTATTTTCTTCTACTTTTTAACATTTGTTTTTCTAAATAATGTTGTTAGTTTCCTCACTATCCATGCACTGCTTGCTAATTGCAATGTCACTCATTCTCAGACGATCTACGGGGAGCTGATCTCACTGGAAAGCAACAGTGATGCGTTAGGTCTGGCTATGTTCGTCCTCCAGCGGCTGCTCTGGAACCCAGACATCGCTGCGCAATACAGACACGCCAAAGTGCCTAACCTTTACAAAGAAGGTAATGTAAGAGCGTCGGTTATTGTGTCGTGTGACCCGGAGACTGTGCTGTGTTACTGTTAGGGTTGCAAAAAAATCAGGAACTGTTTGGTGGTGGAGACTTCCCTTGGGTATTAGTATATTTGAATCCAAAGTAATTAAAGGGATATTGAGCCGGTCGTCAGCTCAGGTTTTGTTTCCCCACTTCCCACACAAGCCGAAACATAAACCTCTTATGCCATATCCTAAGCAGACATATAGATATACACCCACTATGATGCAAATTAATCATTAACAACTTGGGTCTGAGTTGAACTGAAACACTGTCCTGATGACAACACAGCTATGACATTTTCATTTTTTTATCAGTCATATAGGCTAAAAAGGGCCTACGACTGAGACTCAAAAATTAATGAATGTCTCACCTTTTAAATGTCAAAGCTGATCTGATGCCGTCTAGAATTGTAAAAAAATGTAGAGCTGCAACCTACAGTTCTCTACGGTTGTTGAGCCGTTATTCATTAAGTCTGCAAAACGTCTGTCACACTTTACCAGGAGTCCGAGGTGACAAATGTCCAAAACTCAAACATTAGGGAATTTACAATGGTATAAAACAGCAAATCTGCACATTTAAGAAGCTAGAGCACACATTTTTCAAAGGATAGCTTTTGTGGTCCTTTTAACTCTGTCAAATAAGGGAAGAAATGTAAACCGATGAGAATTTCCTTCTGTAGTATAACAAAACATATGTCTACATCTCTTTCCTTGGCTAGGCCACGAGGAGGCGCTGTCTCGCTTTACTCTGAAGAAGCTGCTCCTGTTGGTGTGTTTCCTGGACAAAGCCAAAGAGTCCCGGCTGATTGAGCACAACCCCTGTCTGTTCTGCCTGGATGCAGAGTTCAAGGTAGGCCAGTCGCTGTCCTGTTAAAGTCATATTAAAAAGTCAAATTATTTTGTTAGTTAGTCTTTTATATAATTTAAGTATTTGTATCTTTTTAGTTTCAGATCTATCTTGATGTCATTATTCTGACCTGAGGCTGTTTATACCAAAATTAAGAGGAACATTTTTTTATTATTTAACATAAATATAAGATATAAAAGCTATCAAAGTCCGGTAAATGGATGAATAGGTTTTAGATTGCACCATTTAACTGTTTGTGACAAGTGTCTGTGTTTCTGTGCTGTCAGCAGATCAGTCTATCTGCGTCACACAGTGTTGTATGACTGTGAGTGACTGCAGTTCTTATTTGACTACCTTTAACTACCCCTTTAATGATTTGCGAGCTGAGACCGACACTTGGTTGGTGCTTTCACACTCACGCACCAGCGTTTGACAGCTTTCGTCCCATCCCAAAGGAACTGTACTAACCAAACAAACATACCGGGGTTCGTTTTAACCAAACCAAACAGGTTAGGTGTGAAAGCAGAACATTTTATGCATGCCGCTTATTCTCAGTTCTAAGAATAAGAGCAAAATAGGCCTGTTTTTGTCGGTTTTAAACGAGAATGAATAACAAATGTGAGGCTATCTGCCCTTGTATCAGCGCGCTGGTGTGTATTCTAATACAGGGGATCACAGACCTGAGAACCATCCATATGTAAACCCCACATTTTCCACTATCCTCATGTTTTATGAATTTTAACCCATCGTTCAGCTTAAGGATGAAGACTTTTTCACATTACATATTTATTACTGTGGTTCCTCTCATTAGATATTTGTGTGTTACATTAACCTCTTCCATGTTGCATGCTTCTTGTTTCTTTTCTTTTACAGACAACTAAAGACCTGCTCCTGGCCTTCTCCAGGGACTTCTTGAGCGGAGAGGGGATCCTCCCCCGGCACCTAGGCTACCTCGGGTTACCCGTCTCCCACGTTCAGACGCCCCTGGACGAGTTCAACTTCGCTGTGAAGAATTTGGCAGTTGACTTGAAATGCGGCATTCGTCTAGTGTGAGTGAAACGTCATGAATTTTAATGTGATGCTCTGATCCCCGTTGGGATGTTCGCTTTTCTCAGAGGTCAGGCTCAGCTTCACGGCAGTATCCCTGCAGCTGTTTAGGACTCAGCAGCAGAACTGTTATAGTCCAGGATTTCCTTCCACAGATTCTCAGCAAAGCATGCTCTCTTTAACAGCCCTGCCGATGTTACAGTATTGCTCACTGATCATACTGCAACCATGTGTCTGTGTGTTTTTTTTGTTTTTTTTTAAGTTTTTATTTATTTATTTGTTTGTGCGTTTACTCCTTTTTAATGCACAGAAATGCCGGTTGAAAAATGTAATGGCAAAGACTTAGCATATAGTTGCAGAGTAAATCTCCCTAGTATTCTTTGACTTATTGTAGACTCCTTCTTCATGGGTCTTCCTCTGGCTTTAAGAGGATTAAGTGTGAAAAGGCCTCACACAGCATTTTAAGGTGAAACGAATCAAAAGAACAGCATGATCAGGAAAAAGGCAGACTTAACGGTCAAATATACTCGGACGTGGTGCGGTTCTTTTTTTTACTACACTGGGTGTCTGCATGCTTACATGGTTGTTGGGCTCTACGCCACACAACTTTGGAAAGCACAGGAACCATTTCTAGAAGAATCTTTCAAAAGTAAAAAATAAAAAGCTGTAAATAATCACTGATATATAGTTCTTTGTTGGATCAGGTTGGGGGATATGACGCCATATATCTTTATTTTTTTTAAAGGTAGTTACACTCAAAGCCAAGCCACCAACAGAGGTTACCCTGAAACACGCAGGAATTAAATGATACTGGATTTTATTATGGCTATTCTTTGTATCAAAAGGTGATATGTATTAAGTGTTAAGTAGCTTTTTTCTAAAGTTGCTTCCTGTGTAGATGTCTATGATGATGTAGATTGTGGTAATTTGAGATCTGAGCATCTCAAACCATCAGCCCTATTTGACTCTACAGTATAAGGGAGATGCCAGAATCATCAGAACGATGAGTGAAAAAGTGCCACAGCAACAAGCATGTAAGATGTAGAGGTATACAAAGATTCTTATGCATCACCTTTTATTAAGTGTGTTTTCCATGTGTGGCTTGCTTCCAGGCGAGTGATGGAGCTCCTCGTCCAGGACTGGAGTTTGTCGGCCAAGCTCCGTCTGCCAGCCATCAGTCGCCTGCAGAAGATCCACAACGTCGACATGGCGTTACAAGTGCTCAAAAGCAAAGGGGTCGACCTCAAGGATGAACACGGTAATTATGATTTTTCTCCCAGAGCAAACTGCAAAACCGGGAGACTGTGAACCTGAAAGAGTGTTTGGCCTCCACAAAATGAGATTCAGTGGGGGTTTTTTAAGTTCTGTGTGATGTTTTCTTTCACAGAAGTGTTACATATTCATTTGGCTTTCATACTAGGCTGTATTTTCCACCACTGTGGCACTTTTTTATGGACATTGTTCATTTACTATGTTACTTCACACAAGCATGAACACCATTTCACTGCACACCTTTTGTGTTTGATCACAAACAGCTGCACAGCAACATAATTAGATTGCTTTGCCCTTTATGACGCTGTGTTGAATGTGTGTGTGCAAACTTTTGGTGACAGTATTATTTGTGCCTGTGCACTTCTGCATAAGTGAACATATGTCAGAGTGACTAAGCAGCCCATGATGAAAAGTACAATTTCAACACATAAAAGAAATTAGTAAAGTAAGCACAATAACTTTGCCCACTTTATCAAATCAAAGACAATGCTTTAAACTGGCTATTTTAATTAAGAAATGTCTTCAGTAATACAATTATTCACAATAAAAATGTTCAAATCAGTCTGACAGTTATTATTGTTGGTGAAATTGTGAAAAGTGACAAATCACTCATTTCTAAAGCTTGATGTTCAAAATTCAAAATCATAGGGTCAAAACCAAAGCTATTAAAAAGCAGAAAATACAGATGTTAGACAAGAACAAACAAACAAAGGATTGCTGTTTTTGAGTTATAAATAATTAATAATAATGAATGATCAGTTATTTAAGCCTGGTCTCTTTATTTTCAGGCTCCATCATCGATTCCAGAGACGTTGTGGACGGACACAGGGAGAAGACACTGAGCCTCTTGTGGAAAATCATCTTTGCGTTCCATGTGCGTGTCCGGCCTTATTTCCAATTGATGGTTAACAACATTCTCATTCAGTCATTTTTTTTAAACCTGTGGAAAGAAAAGATTGATATGCTGCTATCAAATAATCTGTTAAGGTGGAGGTGATTTTGGACGAGGATCAGCTGAGGGAGGAAATTTACTTCCTGAAGAAAACCTTGAGGACCAAGCAGAGGCTGATGTCTCTGAGGGCGGATCGGGGCCTTCAGCCAAGTCCTGTGAGGACCAGGGCGGCGTATGAACACAGCAGCACTAAGGTTACCCTGCTGATGGACTGGGCTCGAGCTGTGTGTGACTTCTACAGTCTCAAGGCGAGTTTGAGTTTTTTTTTTTACTTTCAGCTCTCGTGCAAAAGAAAACACTTAGATTTTTTGGGTTTAATTGGTTATATTGGTTATGATTTCATTCTGTCTTGTTAGGTAGGATGCAGTGTTGTACTTTGTCATTTGATTTATTGAACTGGTTTTCTTTTGTAGCCTTTAGTGCTATGTCTTTGGTTGTTGTTTTACATCAAATCACTTTCAAGAGTTAAAACTTTAGTGTTTGGTTTGAAATAGCCCTTACACGGGCTGGTACAATCGGCTCAGACTTTGTCTTGACAGATGATAGTTGCTGAGACATTGCTGACCTCATCACAGCACAACCTGTGTCCTTTGTCTACCACCAAAAATAGTTTCACTGTTTTAAATCTTATTTTTATAGCTACATTACTGTCCCAGTCTCAAACGCCCTCACAAGTCCTTTAAGAAAACAGTAAATGAAGTGTGTTGTCTTATCTGTGCAGGTGGAGAACTTCACTGTGACGTTCTCGGATGGCCGCGTCCTCTGCTACCTTATCCACCACTACCACCCCAGTCTCCTGCCAGAGAAGGCTGTCAGTCAAAGCACCACTCAGACCGTGGAGTGTTCACAGAGGGGCCGCCTGGAGCTCGACTGCTCAGCCAGCGACTCCGACAACTCCTTTGACACCTTGCCAGCCGGCCTGAACGGTACTTGTCTTCTGTGTACTGTGTCTTCAATGCAATATTCTGTCTGGATGCACTTGGATGTGTGTACACACAGACGTTTGTGGAGCATTAGTGTGGAAAACAGGGAGTCTGATAAGACGTCTGTGGATGGAAAAGAAATCTACAAATGCTGACACGGGAATAAACCATAATTTGTTGCATTGCATGTTTCATACAATCGTTGCATTAGTTAGGGATCTTAAGTTGTCTTCATCTACAGAAATCTAGGCTGTTTATTGGTAAAAAATATTAATTGAAAAGGTCCTGGAAAATGTTTTCTAATGAAGAGTGGAAACCCTGGAAGAGTTTCAAGTTATTATAGTCCACTGAGAGACATTTGGAAATTAATTCAAGATTCAACTTGTGCCAAATTTCTGCCCATTTTCAAGGAAAATATTGTTTTAATTTAAATATATTTATAATTCTAGTGACATAAGTTTAAAAAAGGCACGAGGCAGCATGTCACGGCTTAAAAGTTAAATGTGTGTTTTTGAACTTGTATGTGCGACTTTTAAACAAGATCGTAGTAACTGAGTTGTGACTGAATTTTTTTTTTTTTTTGTGAACAGGCCCAGATTCTCCGTCAGTGGAATTTAAAGAGCTGCTAGAGAATGAGAAAAACAACTTCAGAATGGTAAACTCTGCTGTGTCTTTCCTGGGTGGGGTCCCTGCCATGATCAACCCAGCTGACATGTCCAACACTATCCCCAATGAGAAGGTGAGACCAAACAGAAGGTTTTCTTTACCCTCTGCAGCAGCTATTCAGTTTTTTGGGGGTATTGGATTCCAGCACTGGCACAAATTGCACGCAGCACGGATGCTGAGCGGCTGTTAAGCTTTTCATTATCAGAGATGAGAAGTGAAATAGACTGAGCTGCAATAAGGCAGTGATGCTTATCTTTGCAGATTCCTTTGTTTCCCTGGCACTAAAGGGTGAATAAATAGCAACAAAAAAACATTGGGCTCGACATTGTTTAAACATTTTGAACATCTGTATCGGCCCAGTATTTCCCAGTCTATTCTTCTATAATGTAATGGTTATATATTATATGTAATGTATTTAAAAATATATATTATAGGAAAGTAATCCTACCTTTTTTTAACCAAAAAAAATTATACTAAAACGTGTCTGATGATTGGTGTCCAGACCGACTGGCTAAACCTCTTCCTTCATCCACATCTGTTGTTTATTTCCAGGTTGTGATGTCTTACCTGTCCTTCCTGTGTGCTCGTCTTCTCGACCTGCGCAACGAAACCAGGGCAGCTCGGGTCATACAGGGCGCCTGGAGGAAATACAGATTAAAGAAAGATCTACAGCTCTACAAGGTTGGTTCAGTGTCTTGCACAGTCTTTATCTGATCTATACCATTTGTTTTGCAGTCGTGGGTGACGCACTTTATTGCGTTTTTATTTTTGTGATATATAGTTGTCGAGCACAGGTGTACACACCTGAAAATGAGTCCATCTACATCTTGCTTAAAGCACCTATACTCAATGTTTTTATAATAAGAATGTATCAAATGAGAACGTGACAAGAATTACGAGAATGACTTGTGTTCACAAGAAAAAAGCAATTAGAAAGAAATATAAAAGATAGATTTGATAATTGACATTTGACATTTTGATTTTGTTTGTATACAGGAAAGAAACGTGGCTGCTATGAAAATCCAGTTAGTTGTGAGGAGATTCCTCGAGAAGTGCAGAGTGAAGAGGCAGAATCAAGCTGCTGGTATCATCCAATCAGTCTGGAGGGGTTATGTAGCCCGCAACAGACTGAGGCTGAAAAAGCAGGCTCAACTTCGGGCTTTGCAAAATAAAGCAGCAACTGTCATCCAGGTGGGTGTTTATTACATATGTGAGGATGAAAAGGGCTGTTAACATAAAAAAAAAAAAAAATATATATATATATATATATTTGTCTGTTTCATTGTCTGTCTGTTATGTTACAGCAAGGACAGCTGCTTCATAATGAAACCTGCTTGTGTTATTGTTCTTTGAATAAATTGTTCTTATCTTGTCCCTACAGGCTCAATGGAAGATGATTTCGGCGATGAGGGCTTACTATCGCCTCAGATACTATGCCATTGTTGCCCAGAAAACTGAAAAGGAAAACCATGCTGCCACGGTGATACAAGCTGTGTTTAAGAAATGGTACAAGGAAAAAATGGCTGAAAGAGCAAATGCTGCTGTAAGAATTCAGTCTTGGTATAGAATGCAGAGGTGTCTCCATCAGTATAAAAAGATCAAGGCAAGCACTCTCCTCATTCAAGCCCAATATAGAGGTCGCGCACAAAGGCGCTGCTTTCGGATGTTGAAGCTGCAGCACCACTCTGCTATTGTCATTCAGAGTGCCTTCAGAGGGCATGCTGCCAGAAAACTGGTCGCAAAGATGAGATGTGCTACAGTCACAATCCAGCGTTGGTTCAGGGCCTCTGTGGAAAGAGACGTGGAAAGGCAAATGTTTGTGAGGATGAGATGTGCCGCCATTACCATACAGGCAGCTTATCGTGGTAAAGTGGCGCGGGAATCCCTGAAAAAACAGCACAAGGCAGCAACAGTGATCCAGGCATCTTTTAGGAGGTATGCTGCCCAAAGGCGCTACTTTCTCTTGAGAAAAGCTGCAGCTGTGATACAGCAAAAGTACAGAGCCACACTGTTGGCTCGTGAGACAAAGAAGGATTATGATGCTCTTAGGAATGCTGCACTCACTGTACAAGCTAACTGGAGAGGCAGAGCTGACAGGAAGAGGATAGAAAAGAGGCATCAGTGTGCAACACTGATACAGGCTTACTACCGTCGGCACAAAGCAGAAGCAGAGTATAGGTCCAAGAAAGCAGCTGCTGTAGTCATACAGCATCGCTACAGAGCTTATGTTGCCGGGAAGGAGATGAGGAAAGCATACCTGCACAGGAGAGCAGCCTGTATTACTCTCCAAGCTGGATTTAGAGGCCTAAGGGATAGAATAGAGTTGAAGAAAAGGCACTGGGCAGCAACTGTCATCCAGTCTTCAGTTAGGATGTTTTTATGTAGTAAACAATATATTCTCATACAAAGTGCAGCGATTATCATCCAAAGCCGATACAGAGCTCTTGTAGCCTGCAGGGCACAGCAAAATGAATACAAAGTGCTAAAGCAGGCTGCTATAAAGATACAAGCTGTGTACCGGGGATTTAGAGTGAGAGAAGACCTAAAGAAGAGGCACAGGGCTTCCACAGCAATCCAAGCTCAATTCAGGATGCACAGAATGCGTATGGCATACCTTGCCACAAAGTGTGCTGCCATCATTATTCAAGAGCACTTCAGGGCCAAAATGCTCAAGGATCAACAAATGCAGAGGTACACAACAATGAAATCTGCAGCTGTACTCATCCAGGCAGCATATCGTGGCTACAGGGCCAGGAGGAAAATTGCAGAGATGCACCGAGCTGCTACAATGATTCAGAGAAAGTTTCTCACCATCCGAGATAGGAATAGGTTCCTCGCTATCAAGGCAGCAGCTTTGGTTTGCCAGCAGAGGTACAGAGCAGTGGCCCTGGCAAGAAAAGACCATTTGGACTATCTGGTAAAGCGCAGGGCAGTCATTTGTCTGCAGGCTGCCTATAGAGGACGTGAGGTCAGAAAGCAGATGCGCATCCAGCATACGGCAGCTGTAACAATTCAGTCTCAATTCCGAAAATACCAGCAAAGAACCTACTACAAGAAGCTCCACTCGGCTGCCAGTGTATTGCAGGCACGTTACAGAGCCAACAAGAAAATGAGAGAGGAGATGCAAGCCCTGAGTGCCAAGAGAAATGCTGCTGTTGTCTTACAAGCTGCCTTCCGTGGAATGAAATCTAGACAAATCATCAAACAAAGGCACCAGGCTGCCAGTGTTATCCAGAGAGCTTATGGAGCACACTATGAGCGCAAGCAGTATCTGACCTTGAAATCCTCTGTCCTCACCATTCAGCGGAGGTATCGGGCCATTGTAGCAGCAAAGGCACAAATGAAACAATACCAGCGTATGCGCACAGCAGCAGTCCTGCTTCAGGCAGCATACAGAGGGCAGCAGGTCAGGAAAGAGATTGCTCATCGCCATCAGGCTGCCACTATCATCCAGTCTGTATTCAGAAAGCACAGAGAGGTAGTCAAATTCCAGGCCATGCGTCTGTCTGCCATTATCATCCAGAGACACTATCGCTCCTGTATTCTTCAGAGGCAAGTAAGGGAAAAGTTCATAAAAATTCAACAAGCCACCATTATTCTTCAGGCAGCTTACAGAGGTCATTGTGTTCGAAGCAGCATTGCCAAGATGCACAAGGCAGCTACTGTCATTCAAACAAACTTCAAGAGGCATAAGCAGCAGTCAGCCTTTAGGAGACAACACTGGGCAGCATGTGTCTTACAGCAGAGGTTTAGAGCTCAGAGACAGAGAAATGTTGAGATAAAACATTATCAACAGCGCAGGGAAGCTGCTATTGTGTTACAGGCTGCATATCGTGGAATGAAATCGAGATGGATCATCAAACAAAGGCATCAGGCTGCCAGTGTTATCCAGAGAGCGTACAGAACACACTGTGAACACAAGCAGTATCTGACCTTAAAATCCTCCATTCTCACCATCCAGCGGAGGTACCGGGCCACTGTAGCAGCAAAGAAACAAATGCAAAAATACCAGAAAATGCGCAGTGCTGCTATTGTTCTTCAGGCTGCATATAGAGGCCAGCAGGGCAGAAGGGAGATTGCTCAGTACCATTGGGCTGCCACTGTGATCCAGTCTGCATTCAGAAAGCACAGGGAGGAGGTGAAATTCCAGGCAATACGTCTATCTGCCATCATCATCCAGAGACACTATCGCTCCTGTATTCTTCAGAAACGAGACAGAGAAACGTTTCTAGAAAGGAGACATTCTGCTGTTGTCCTTCAGGCAGCATACAGAGGGCAGCAGGTCAGAAAGGAAGTTGCACGTTGGCATCAGGCCGCCATTGCGATCCAGTCTGCATTCAGAAAGCACAGAGAAGAAGTCAAATTCCAGGCCATGCGCCTGTCTGCTGTTATCATCCAGAGATACTATCGCTCCTGTATTCTTCAAAGAAAAGAAAGGGAAAACTTCCTAAAAGCGAGACATTCCGCCATCGTTCTTCAGGCAGCTTTCAGAGGTCATCTCGTGCGAACCAGCATTGCCAAGATGCACAAGGCAGCTACTGTCATTCAAGCCAACTTTAAGAGGCATAAACACCAGTCATCTCTCTGGAGACATCGCTGGGCAGCCTGTGTCCTGCAACAGAGGTTTAGAGCTAAGAGACAAAGAAACATTGATATAATACATTACCAAAACTGCAGAAAGGCAGCCATTGTGTTACAGGCTGCATATCGGGGAATGAAATCCAGGCAGAACATTAAACAAAGTCACCAAGCTGCCAGTGTTATCCAGAGAGCTTACAGAACACACTGTGAACACATGCAGTATCTGACCTTAAAATCCACTGTTCTGACCATCCAGCGGTGGTATCGAGCCACTGTAGCAGCCAAGGAACAAATGCAAAAATACCAAAAGATGCAAAGATCAGCAGTCCTCCTTCAGGCAGCATACAGGGGGAAGCAGGTCAGAAGAGAGATGGCTCGCTGGCACTGGGCGGCCACTGTGATCCAGTCTGCATTCAGAAAGCACAGAGAGGAAGTCAAATTCCAGGCGATACGTCTATCAACCATTATAATTCAGAGATACTATCGGGCCTGTATCCTTCGAAGAAAAGAAAGGAAAAACTTCCTAAAAGCTAGACGGTCTGCCATCGCTCTTCAGGCTGCTTTCAGAGGTCATCGTGTGCGAGCCAACATTGCCAAGCTGCATAGGTCGGCTACTGTCATTCAAGCAAACTTCAAGAGGCATAAGCAGCAGTCAGCCTTTAGGCGACAACGCTGGGCAGCCTGTGTCTTGCAGCAGAGGTTTAAAGCGCAGAGACAAAGAAATGTTGAGATAAAACATTATCACGAGGTTAGGAAAGCTGTCATTAATCTACAAGCTGCCTTTCGTGCAATGAAATCCAGAAGAATCATCAAACAAAGGCATCAGGCTGCCAGTGTTGTCCAGAGAGCCTATAGAGCCTACTCTGAACGCAAACAGTATCTGAAATTGAAATTGTCCGTCCTCACCATTCAGCAAAAGTATCGGGCTACTTTAGCAGCTAAAGCACAAAGAACACAGTACCTGGAAATGCGCTGTGCAGCCATCATTGTGCAGTCAGCATACAGAGGGCAGCGGGTCAGAAAGGAGGTTGCTCATTGGCATCAGGCTGCCACTGCGATCCAGTCTGCATTCAGAAAGCGCAGAGAGGAAGTCAAATTCCAGGCCATGCGTCTATCTGCCATTATCATCCAGAGATACTATCGCTCCTGTATTCTTCAAAGGAAAGAGAGGGAAAACTTCCTAAAAGCGAGACATTCTGCCATCATTCTTCAGGCAGCATTTAGAGGCTGGTGTGTCAGGAGGGACATTAGTCAACAAAATCAAGCTGCCATTGTGATCCAGTCATGCTGGAAATGCTCAGTGCAGAGGCGTATCTTCCAAAGAAAGAGGGAGGCAGCTGTGAAACTTCAGCAGAGGGTGCGGGCAGTGCAGCTGGGCAGGTTGGAGAGGAACAACTACACCCAATCGAGGCGAGCTGCCATCACACTTCAGACACACTGCCGGGCCTGGATTGCAAGACAAAAGGTAATGAGCTTTATTTAAAGATCAGTTTGCTAGAATTTTCTTTTCTTCCTTCCTGACATCTCTGGTGGGTAGACAAATTTGAAATGAATATACTAGAAAGGAGATGACCATATTAAAATGTGATTTGTAGTAAACAGGCTAAAAAGGCAAAACTTTTTTGAAATAGATTTTATAGTCCTTTGCATGCCTTTTGCGTTTCAGGTACTAGAGGTAGCCAAGGCAGAGAGAAGGCTCCGTTTTACGTCGGCGGTCTTCCACCATCTCAAAGCCATAAAGATCCAAAGAGCTCTGAGAGCCCACTGGGCTTTGGAGTCGGCCAAAAGACAAATCCATTCTGTCATCACAATACAGGTACAGTGAGGAAGAGCCCACAATGCCATTCTTCAAAAGTGAATACGACACTGAAGAGCCCTCAGGTTATCTGATGAATTTAATTCAGTCAGTCAATGAAAAGCACACTTCTTAAAATGATTCCCCTGTTCTTTTCTAGCAATGGGTGAGAGCGAGGCAGCAGAGGAGACGGTATTTGGAGGACAGGAGCAAGGTGGTTACAGCCCAGAGAGCTGTCAAGCGCTGGTTAGCTCGTCGCCACAAGGCTGCGTCCGTCATCCAGCAGGCCGTCCAGAAATTCCTCCTTCTCAGGCGCCAGAAGAGGGTTCAACAGGGCATTGTCAAAGCTCAGGTACTATAGCCAGTGGTGTATTTGATAGAGCTGACTTCCGTACTTTTAAAGGAAGGTTCCAAATTTTTTAAGTGTCTTTAAAATAATAGTCAGGTGCCCATATGAAAATTTGAATTTGTTTTTATAATCTGTCTTCCTGTTCATACTGGAAAGTAGGTAATCCTTTACTATTGTGCTTTCAATGTGAATGATGGAGACAAAATTATTTTCATTTTGCCGTTAATCTCGATTACTGTTATTACCATAATTTATAACAACTAACTGGTTTGAATCAATGGAATATTTCAATCCACACAAAGGCATAAAATGGTAAACCTCCTCTGATCCAATGTACCCATGATTCGCAACTAAGTAGAGTTTTTCTTTTTTTGTCTTTTTTTTTTCCCCTCTCCCTCTCCCTCCAGGCTCTGTGGAGAGGACACCGCTCCCGCCGACTGAATGACAATCCCAAGGTGGTGAAGCTGAGACACCGTTTGCGTAAAGTCTCCGCTGACATCCGAGAGGAGGACAAACTGTGCAACAAGACATCGTCTGCCCTGGACTATCTCCTACGATACAAACACTTCTCCTACATTCTAGAGGCCCTGAAAAACCTGGGTAAGGCTTTTGAGTTTCGGGAGCAACTATAGAGCTCCCTGCTACAAACATAGTTTAGCGGGAATGTTAATGCGGATTCTGCCAAGACACTCCATTTCGTTTTAATTTTACAGTTGTATCTGATGTATAGGTAGTAAAACAAATCCTGTATTAGGTCATGTATTAAGCCAAAAACAACTGGATTTATGCTTCCGTGAGGCCTCGCCCAGCTCTCGTCCGATAGATCCTGAATACTGATATCTGCAATAGAGTTGAGCATGTAGACTTTCAGAAAGTGTGCGAGACAAAGTTCCTCTTTCTGATGTTTTTGGTTGTGTGTTGTAATAGCAAAATGCTTGTGTCGTCAAAATGAGACCGAGTTCATTACAAAAGAAGGTGGTTAATGTGTGTTGTGTCTCATAGACAAAATAACTTTACTGAGCATCCTTTTCTAATATACTTTTGATTACGTGGACATGATCTCAGGTGTCTTGCCTTTTCAGTACTGCAGTTTGTCCCGAACACTAACATAAAAAGTGTGTGTTTGTTTGTTTGTTTGTGTGTGTGTGTGTGTGTGTGTGTGTGTACAGAGACCGCCACCAGGCTGTCCCCAGAGTGTTGTGAGCGGCTGGTAGAGAGCGGAGCCACAAACATCATCTTCACACTCATCCGCTGCTGCAACAGAAGTGTCCCCTGCATGGACGTCATCACCTTCTCCATCCAGATCCTCCTCAACCTCTCCAAGGTACAAACCTTGTCAGACACACGCTCACGGTGAAACATGAAGAGGATGTGAAATATAATTGGTCGACTTTGTAAAAGCTGCCTGAAGGTATTCAGTTTTAGTTCTGCTGCCTATAATGTTAAAGGGTAACTACTATGGAGAGCCATTTCATTCAGAACCCTTCAGCTAGGCTACCAGCAGGGTATTTGAGCGGAGAGCGTGAGCAGCTGGGCTTTGAATTGTGCACAGCAACTCCTTTGCTGTTTGTTTTGGTAGATGAAAGAAAATCCCATGTATGCACATGAATTATTATTCATATATGATTGTATGGGCAACGTGACCATTTCAAATGCTTAATTGTATAGTTCAGTATTTGGGGGTGGCGATCCTTCCCTTTTTCTAGGGGTGTACCATTTTAAGTTTAATGCTCTGCCTTTTCCCATTACATAATTACTCTTTAAAGTGTACCTACACCCTTCAGTTCTGCTAGTTCCCTTGCTCTCAGCAAATTTTAAAAATACATCAGAGACTTGCACTTTAGAGGGCATGGCCTTGATACCAACCGGAGTGATTGACAGATAGCTGCTGTGCAAATTCATAGCTGGTTCTGCTGTTGTAGCTAAGCTAACAGCCCAGAGAGGACAATTTAGTGTGTGCGTGTCTGAGTCGAGGTAAAAATTGCACAATGTTTATTTTTTTGATTTGTTTACTTTGATTATTTGCAAGTCAAGTTAAAAGTCCACAAAGCAGACTGTTGTAATACTTGTTGACATGAATCATGTAGCCTCAATCTTTATGTCTAGTTTTGTGGGGTGGGGGGGGGGTTGCTTCTTTCCTGGCTGTTAATTAAGAAGTCTCTCAAATATCTTCAACAGTTCTAAATTATTATAATTCATCTTGTGGGGGACACGAATGTGAGAACCAAATTACATTGTGATCCAACCAAAAGCTTTAGGGACAAAACCTCAAGGTTGTCCTGGGGACCACGGATATCTCAGTGCATCCAGTAGTTATTGCAATACTTAATTTTGGACCAAAGTGGTTAAGAAGACTGCTTTTGTGAAGTCTCAAATCTTTATCCCCCAGTTTTGTCTGAACAAGCAGTTAATTGATTCTTGGTCCATGTTTGTACCATATTCACTCTTTTCTTTCTTTCTTTCTTTCTTTCTTTCTTTCTTTCTTTCTTTCTTTCTTTCTTTCTTTCTTTCTTTCTTTCTTTCTTTCTTTCTTTCTTTCTTTCTTTCTTTCTTTCTTTCTTTCTTTCTTTCTTTCTTTCTTTCTTTCTTTCCCTCTCCTCCACTCACTACTGCTTGGTTTCCTCCTGCAGTACCACAAGACCATTGAGGCAGTGTATTCGGTGGAAAACTCTGTGGAAACATTGCTTGACCTGCTGCAGAGATACCGGGAGAAGGCCGGGGACAAAGTGGCAGAAAAGGGGGGCAGCATCTTCACCAAAGCCTGCTTCCTTCTTGCTCTCCTCCTGCAAGACAATCATCGTGCTGTGGTTCGTAGATAATATACCATACAGACTTTAGGAATACATTTTTCCAGTACTTTAAGAAGATGAAATGGAAATATAAAATTCAAATTTTACAGGAAGCGACTATTGTAGTTAGAAATATGTGTATATATATAATGCAAACTTTTTTTATTTTCTTTAGGAGGTCATGAAGCTACCCAAGGTCTTGGATCGGATACGCAGTATTTACCGCCTCACTGCTCGCAAACACAAGATGGACGCAGAAAGAACTGTTGTCAAACAGAAGATGAGCGCGTCAATCAATGGAAGCTTCTTTGCCCAAGCAACGCCTCGTAAATCCCGCCCTGTGCCAAAGTATGTATATGTATGCATTTTCCCAGTACTTTGTGTTCATCCAGTACAGTCTGTGTCTGCAGTGGTGATTGACATCCTGTTTTTGATTTTCAGGTTTGCACCGGAATGGGTTCTCAGAAAGGACAAGCTTAACGATGTTGTGGACCCTCTCAGGGCCATTCAAATGGTGGCAAATACACTCTCCATTGTGTTGTAAATAGACAAGCTTTTAAATTGTGATCCGTCATGTAATTTTTTTCCCCCTTCAGAAAATATTGTTATATGTATTGCTGTATTGTTTTTTTGTTTTTTTCAACACATTTCCATATTTTCATGTATATATTAAATGGATTTGTTTCTTAAACATGGGCCAGTTTCATATATATTTCTATTGTGTTAACCATAGATTGTATAAACAGTGGACAGGTCCTTGTGTATAAAAAGTGAAGCCAGTGTGGAATTGCTTTAAAGCTGCATTCTCTCTAATCGCCTATAGGGGTCAACTCCACAGTTTGCAAGAAGTGGAAATGGAGCCTTTTCACTTGAGTTATTACTCCAGAAATCCTTTTCCTACCCTCAGCTAGAAAGCAAATAAGTATTTCCTAAAATGTCCATCTTTTTCTCTAAATTATCAAGAACCGATACTTAAGTAAACATATGCATTGATAAAATATTATTAAAAAGATGTGAATTTGAATATCTACAATTCCATGGCAACTGGGAAAAATCTATGTTTTGATAAAGATCATGTTATATTTGAAAACTCCAGAGCAGCTCCTAAATTGACCTGAGGTGGTCAACCCGAACAAAGTTTGCCATATGACACTGTGGTCTTTCAAGTCACATGAACTTCAATTTCAGCAGACATTAGCAGCTATACTAAGTCCTTAATTTTGTCTACTTTCATTTTGGTACACCGTCTATCATAATTATATCATATAATTATTTAATGTCAATGGAAACTGCTATCAAACACCAACCTTTTATAGCTTGCTTTACTCCAAAGTATGTATAAATTATATTTAAACAATTTGATATAAGAAATTAGAAATGAAAATAGAACCAAATAAACACCGCATTGAATCATTTCTATAATTATAAATGTATTGAGCTATGTGCAAAACAAAATGGTGAGTTTTACCCCAAAATGTGGTATATTACGTATGTGGAAGGCAGAAAAGAGGCTGGGAGATCATGCCTATTTTTATTAAAATTTCCATAGTTGACAACATTAAAGTGGAGATGGAAGACCAGTATTTTTTTTTTGCAATCTATACATTTATTTGGATCCACATTAGCTGCTAGCAAGGTACCAACTAATCTTCCTGGGGCCCACATAATTGTATGTAAATAAAGGTTGAACTATTTCCTCTGTATTTTTCAGTGTCTCACTGGCAAGTAGGCAGGAGAACCACACCGCCATTACACCTCTGACGCATTGCCACTGCACCGACAGGAATTCCTCTGGCACACCTGAACTCAATTATTTCATCATGAGTGAAATATTTATTGTCACTGGATTTTAAAGTGATGTTATGTTGTCTAAAGTCGTCTTCATTCACAACACACGGTTCTGCAGGAGACAATGGAGAAAAAACATTTTAATAATTGCAGGAAGGTCTGTAAACAACAATGCATGCAAGAAGTTTGCTGGTGTTGGGCGGCAGTTGTGACTTTTTTAACACGTATAGAACCACAATCTTTAGATCTTTATTATCCTAAAAGTATTGTGGCCCTAAGAGGTCAATGCGCTGCTATCTAGGAAAACGTGCAAATTCAGAGACATCATTATCACTTTGACAACACGTGCAGCATTTAGAAAACATGCTGCCAATACAGACAACACAACAGCTTGCAGAACACTGATTTAGTGTTTATGACAGATATTAAACTTTACTACCCGGTTCACCAGTGATGGAAGACCTGTAGCCTGCATAACAATCAAAGGCATTATTATTCTAGAAATATCTATATCAGTATAGGATACAGTAGGCCAAGCATTGCAATGATAATGATATAACATCAGGTTATATTTAGTTGTGCCATTTGTTTTTGTATTTGTTAGCAAACAATATTAGTTTTTTTTCCTTCCCAAATTGGCAGAGCTTTTCAGTAATATGTTGTTTTGTCTGTATTTCCATTGTATTTTCTTAAAGCTGCACGTGTTGTCTAATTGACAAGGTTTACTGAATTTGCTTTTTTATTTTCTGAAGCTGCAATGTGCTGAGCTCTCAGGGCCACATAAAGGCCTGGTCACACCAAGAAGAAGTGGCACAATAAAATCAATCTTTTATCTTTTATGCAATATTTGGATCAAGAAGCTTGGTGGCAAACTAATTGCTAACCCTCCAGCCAGCAGGGCCAGCACTAGTCAGTCACAATAACTCTCCGAACTTCTTTCTTTTTCCTCTGTACTGGGCCTTATCGCAATGTTGAAGGAAATAGCATGCAAACAACTGTGGGATAAGCAAGAAAGTTCTAGAAGGAGAGCGTTATGAGTGCTTGAGCAGAACTAGTGTAAATTTGAAATGTATAGTGGGGCTAATTAGCCACTGTAATGAAGAATTTAACAATGTTAACTGGGTTGAGCTAAGCAGCAAAAATATGCTACCAGTACATTAAGCACTGGAAATGATCGGACTGCTCACAGCAGCACGTGAGAGAGGGTCACGTCTTTTGGTCAGATGAATGTTATATTAACTGGACTGGATCAATTTTGGTGAGTTTCTCGAGAGACAGAGAGAGAAACTAAGGGCTTCATGAAGAAAAGCTGCCAAATGCAAAAGATCACAGAGTCAGTTACCATGGTATTTGTTCTGTATTTCCCTCATCTCACTAAACCCACTTTCTGGAGAACTTCCTAGAAAGACTTTGAGCATAATTCATTTGCCTGTTCATCTCTGTTGCAGTGTTTTAGACTGCACCTTATTTGTTTACAGACTTCAAGAGAGGGTAACGTGAAGGCACATAATGTAAGTTGTGCTCTTGCAAGCTGCAGACGGATTATTTTTGTGTGCAAGTGTGAGAATAGTTTTCTTCTTTTTTACAATAGGATTTGTGGTGCACTCAAGCACAAAGTCAGCGCTCTCAAGATGGCTTGCTATTGGTCAACTGCACTGTAATGTGTTGATCAAACTTGGTGCAAAAGTGGAATAAAGTGGGTTTATTTGCCTGCTGTGAAAAAATCCATTAATCATAGGCCCATCCTGGACCAAAACATTATGTCACAAGAAAAAAACATTTCCAAAATGCCCCCATTTCCTGTTTACTGTTATGCACCAATACACCATGCAAATTCCTATGTGAAAACCTACTTAGCAATAAAACTGATTCTGATTTTGACAGATTTTGTAAAACTCAGGCCTTGAATCCCTGAACATGTGGGACAAACCCTAATCCAGAGTCAAAGGTTAACAAACTTTTTTTTTTTTTTGTCAATAAGCATAATCCAGGCAGACATTATGTTACCTGCAAAACCTGCAAACCTGTCACATGCAACCACTGGAAACTACTTTGAAACTTATAAAACTATAACTATACCATAATAATATAACAATAAAAAATAATTGCACAGAATGCAGTATGAATATTAGGTAAAGGGAGAACTGTAACTTACTGAGGCATCTCATATGTCCAGTCCATTCTCCATTGATACAGGTTCTGTAAGGCTCTCCCTCCATGGTGTAGAAGCTTGGACACATGTATTCAACTGTTTCATTATTGCTGTAATTACTTTTTTTTGTGTACTTGAGGTCTCCATCTGCAAGCAATGGTGCTGTCTCACAACCCAGAGGCTCTTAGAAATATGTAGGTACAGATGAGGTACACGTTTAGGTATTATATTGTAGCAAATCACTTTTAAACAACACACACACACACACACACACACACACAGAGAGAGAGACAGGTGACCTACCAGGCAACCTATATAGACTGTAGCAAACGTCTAATGTCAATCAGCCATAACATTATGAGCACCTGGACACCCTGGTGGTCATAATGTTATGCAGCCCCATATGCAACAAACTGTGATGTACTGTGTGTTCTGAAACATTTCTATCAGAACCAGCATACAGTAGCTCGTCTGTTGGATCGGACCATGACCCTGTGGCCGGTTCACCGCTTTTCCTTCCTTGGATCAGTTTTGATAGGTACTGACCGCTGCGGATGGGAACACCCCACAAGAGCTGCAGTTTTGGAGATGTTCTAACTGGGTCAGCCAGCACAGTCTGGCCCTTGTTAAAGTCGCTCAAATCCTCACACTGCCCATTTTTCCTGCTTCTAACACATCAACTTTGAGAACAAAATATTCACTTGCTGCCCAATATATCCCACCCACTGTCAGGTGCCATGATAACGAGATAATCAGTGTTATTAACTTCACCAGTCAGTGGCCGTAATGTTATGGCTGATTGGTGTATGTTGGCACACCTTTTGGGTGAGGGCTCGACAAATTCTTAAATCACACAATATTTTGCATTCAAAAAAGACAAGCAACCTCAAAAATAAATACAAATCAGTAAAACTGTCATAAAATGTCATACAAGAGATTATCTACTGTATATTTGTATCTTCTGTAGAAGGATGACAAACTATGTGGAAGCATTACATATGTTATCTGGCCTGGGAACGCCTTTGAATAAGAGGAAGAAAATGGTTGGATTGATGTTGCTAATGCTGTACCTTTTATAATTTGAAAATATAACAGCTTATTTACATATAGAAGTGGTTTCCAACCTGGGGGTCGGGATCCCGGGGTGTAAGTAAACTTGCACTGAAAAGTACATATAGTAGGTCTATATTTGAGCATTTTATTCATTTCCTTAAAGAAAACTAAATAAAATAGTTTTGTTTAGATAATTTATAATATTATTTAAGATATAAACATCATAAGGGAATGCTGAAGATCTGACCACAAGCTGTAGAGCCTTCACTCTCGTCCTGGCTGTGCATGGGGCTGTTATATGCAAGGCACATTTTTCACATCACTGGCTGTAGATTGGGCATATATATCTGATCTACTGTCCTCAGACCGCGGTATACATGTACAGTATGTATAACGGAAATGAAAGGAACAAAATATGAACAGTGGATTAGTTTTTCTGTACTGCCTTACCTGGACAATCTTTGCATGTTATCGCTGAAAACAAAACAAAACACATTTAGTTGAGTTTAGCTTGTGCACTGAGAGTTTGAGAGTGTTTATGGAGTTGGTATAGCAGATTAAGATATTTTAGTTCACTAAATATAAGTGTATAATACATTATCTTATTATAACGTAACACAAGTAAAACTTGGAATGCAGGACTGTTACACATATATCAGCTTTAACATTATACTATTATTGTATAAACCAAAGTATCACATATACCAGTATTCGAATGGTCCCTGTCGGAGCATTTATATGTATGTACAGAAAATCACATTAACACAAGGGGAGGATTATAGCCACCAATAGCCTTTTGTTTCAGTGTATCTATGATTTAATCAAAGTAACCACATAGGATCAACATGTATCATAAATTTAAGCTTTGACAAGGCATGTTTCCTACAGTACAGGCAGACTGAACATATCCGGTCTACTATCTTAAGGTCGTTGTAAGGAGGGCAGAAGCATTGACAGTACATATAATGGAGAGAGCCTCCGGGTCTGTAAAGTGAAAGTCAATGTCTTAAATCTGCATTCTCTTATGTAATGGCCAGCAGGGGGCAGGCTCCATTGGCTGCACTAAAAGACCAATAGTCCATGCAGTCTTACGGAGAAATGACCTGACTTCTTACTTGTTTATGGTCTCAGCCTCTAGTTTGAAGCTTCTTTCAAACAGCATAATAAATAGAAACAACAAAACATCCCAACAATAAATTTGGTTTGCTGTATTTCATTACCTGTACATTTTGATTTCCCAGTCCAACCATTTGCCTTGCAAATTCGGTGAGGACTTCCTTTATAACCTTCTGTGCAGGCATAATTGATCCGCTCATTGTATTTGTATTCCCACTTGTGCTTGTTGTCAAACTCTGCATTATCGATAGCCTCTCTGATGCATGTTATTTCTGAAAAAAAAATGCAGTTGTACACATAAATACAGAACAAAGAGACATACAGACATAACCGTTGGCAATGTGGAGACTATGGACTTCAAGAGATTAAGAGTTGTGAATGAGAGTGGTAGTAGTAGTAGGATTACTACAACGTAGAAACGGAGACTAAATAGGCTAGAATAGCAACACAACTGCAGAGAAAGGAGTGATGACCTGCTGACTATTTGGTGGTACTTAAGTATGTAAAATCAAAATATAAGGTTTATATTTCACCGTTGTCCCATTGTTCTCACTTTATCTGGCTCTTTTTTCGAGTAGTAATAAACTGTAGGTAAAATAGTCCACTGCATTAATGTTAACGTTAGAAGACATGTCTATTCCTAATATGTATACTGCTGGATCCCAGTGCTTTTTTACAATGTGAATAGTCATTCATAGACATTCAGCATTCTGCTCTGATAGTTTCTGGCCAATGATTGCAGAGGGAGCAAGGACTTTATTCAACAGCTGAGAAATTGAATCTGGATCCTGGTTCCTCCAGTGCAGTCTTACGGAGAAATGACCTGACATCTCACTTGTTTATGGTCTCAGTCTCTTGTTTAGCAGCTTCTTTAATACAACATAATAAAAAAATGTATTTGGTGTATTTCATTACCTGTACATTCTGAATCCCCGATCCAACCATTTTCCGTGCAAATTCGGGAAGGATTTCCTTTAAAACCCTCTGTGCAGGCATAATTAATCCGTTCATTGTATTTGTATTCTCTCTTACGTTTGTCGACAAAATCTGCATTATCGATAGCCTGTCTGAAGCATATTATTTCTGAACAAAATAAATAAATAAATAAATGCAGTTGTACACATAAATACAGAATGAAGAGATATACAGACATAACTGTTGGCAATGTGGAGACTACGGACTTCAAGAGATTGAGTGTTGTGAATGAGAGTGGTAGTAGTAGTAGGATTACTACAATGTAGAAATGGATACTAAATAGGCTAGAATAGATTAGATGCTCAATAAATATGGCACCTGAGGTTTTTGGGCGTGAATGTGACATAGCCTCGTACTTCAGGGGCGTGGAGTAGCAGGCAACGTGAAACATTTTTTACAGATTTTTGTTTTTTGGTCTACAGGGCAGCCTTTTGGTGGAGAACATTATTAGAGTAAAACAGATTGATAACTGGACCAAAGATCCTTCCTAACTTGAAGAAATATCAACACAAAATTAACAGTAATGTCAAAAACACAAGCTTAACTTCACAGTACCTTGACAAAGTGGATTTGGACTCCACCCATCTCTGGTGCATGTGGCCACGTTGGTGCCATCTGTCCCCTTGTAGCCTCGCCTACAGGTATAACCTATAGTCTCACGCAATTTTACTTGGGTCCAGTATTTTCTCCAGGAAGTCACAAGTGGATCATATTTGTTGCATATAGCCTCTAGAATAAATGAAAGATTTGTGTATCTTAAGTAAAATGGGATTAGATTAATAATCATAATCAATTATACACACACATAATCTGTCTTTGGCACTAGAGCCCATGTAGTTTTGTACCTTTGCATACCGGTGTGATAGTCCATTCTCCAAATTCATTGCATGTAGTTCTTATTGAGGTGTCCCTGAAGGTTAAAAATCCAGAACTTCTCTGTACATCTGACTGTTATTTCGTCACCAGGTGAAAACAGACTTCTGCCAGCAGGTTCATACATGGTTCCTTCGATTGGTGGCAGGTTCAGTTGACATTTTATTGCTGCATTTGTTGGGAGATTAAACATATTATTTGTTAGTTTGATGTAGACTATTACCATGACATCCATATATACAGGACCAGTTTTTGCAAGTCAGTGTGTGATGCAAAAAATTAATGAAATTACTGTTTATACGTACATTCACACATAGGTGCAGGGGTCCACTCTGCTCTCATTCCTACTTTTGTGCATTTTGAAGCTCTCCCTTCAGTGCGTTTGTAGAAACGATTGCACTCAAAATGCAGGATTTCATGTTCCTTGTACACTCGGATATCTCCAGTCACAAAACCATTTTCAATATCTGGTACTGTACATTCTATCGCTGTTGAAGAATACACACACAGGCATAAATATAAATGGAGCAAAGCCTGCAAGATAGTTTAGGCAGTCAACTCAAGCTGCACTGCTATACACACATGACATGCCTCACACTCTATAATCCCTAACCAACACACACCTTTCCAATCTGGCGGTCTATTTAAACTGCACAATTTTCCATCTCTCCCTTTAATCTACCCTGCATCAGTATTGCTGCCTGCTGCTCTGTAAGCCCCACCACCACCCCAGCAACCATCTATAGGCTCCGGCTAGGGGTTTAAGGTATTTGCTCCCCAATATCTCTATGTAAATGTCTGCGGGGAGTAATGAGGTTGGAGACGCCAAAATCTAACTATGCCATAATGCTGGAATAAACATTTGTTAGTTTGATGTAGACTATTACCATGACATCCATATATACAGGACCAGTTTTTGCAAGTTAGTGTGTGACGTAACCAATTAATGAAATTACTGTTTATACGTACGTTCACACATAACAAGTTATGCACTGTGAAAACTGTATATAGGCTATAATTAATCCAACGGAAAGTTTTGTTGACATTAATATTGTCATTAGGTTATTGACTACATTTTTAAACAGGTAATTAGTCCATTTATTAGATTACATTTTTGAAGTAACTCTCCCAGCTCTGCTTACATAGTATTTTGCAGTTACATGTTTTGTGGGGGGTGGGGGGTCAGGCTCACTTCTAAGAGGGGTCAGGGAATGGATGGTAAATAGAGATGGAAAGAGACAGAGACAAAGGTGTACAGCAACAACTATACTAGCAGAAATGACTAATGATGATGATGATAATGATGACAACAACGACGCCAATAGCCGCAACTATGGGGAATGAATAATAATAATAATAATAATAATAATAATAGTAATAATAATAATGAATATAGTAATCATCAAACTATATTGCCATGGGTTGCTTCCTCTAGGTCCCCAAATCACCTGGACATTATTGTCCAGGTGATTTCTAAATATTTCTAGAATCTATCTAAAAACTGTTTAAGTGTACAGCCTGTAAGATAGAAAAAAACTAAACAAAAATGGAATTTTCCATATTTATCCCCACAACAAAACATTTAACAATAAATGAAATAGTAATATCAAAAGGAATGTTGAACCACCCGGTCTTACCTTGACTTTCCACAAAGATGAGTGTATGCATCCACAAAAAGAGGACAAAGCTTCGGGTTATTGCGTTCATTTTCTCTTCAGTTCCCTGAACCGTCAAACAGAAGTAGAAACTGGAGACTGAAACACTGTTATACGCAGACAGAGTTGTGGATCTCACAGGCAAAAAGAGATTGCCCAATGATTAACGCAAGTCTGTTCCAGCCTCCAGCTACAATCTCAGGCTCAAAGGGAAGAGAATAAAAAGCTGATGTGACCACACACAACACCTTTACACACCCTACCCCTAAGCCTGAAAACACCTTAAGTTGGTATACTCAGATTTATATTGTAGAATAAGCTCACTGAATCATGGAAATGACTTAACAGATTATTATACTCACATAGATACTAGTCTAATTTTAAAGGGTATTTTGTAAAACAATGCAATAGTGTTTCAGTGGTTCATGTCCTGCACTGTAAGGCTTTGCTGTATTTATCATTGAGTGACAAATAAGAGTATTCCTGTAAGAGTTTATTTTCTAAAAACTTTTTTTAACATCAGATTCAGATACTTTAGTTAAAGGTCCAGTGTGTAGGATTTAGTGACAACTTGTGGTGAAGTTGCAGATCATAACAAACTGAACACCGCCTGCTGCTGTATTTGATGACCTGGGAATGAGAACGGGCTGTGAAGTGTGTAGGAGAAACTACGGTGACCACGAAACATGGCAGACTCCATTGAACGGACCAGTGGTGCCGACAATTCATTGTATAGTAACAAAATCACAGCAGTATTATACGCCCTTAGTAAATGCTTTTATTGGGCCTCAAAGCTCCAAGACCATGCATTTTAAATAAGTCCCCTGTCAGATCAAGATGTCCCCGATTGCATAAACATAAATCTAAAGATCACTTTATTGGTGCCCAATTTCAAGTATATAATTTGTGTTGAGGCCTGCGCACACATTTAAAGTAAAACTATCCATCCCCGCTATCTGATACCCCTCATCCCTCCCACCATATTAAACAAAAACATCTTTCAAAGAAATACTTTTAGAATAAAAAATACTTGTTGCGATTAGTTTTCAACCAATGCAGGTATTAGCATTAGATAATCAAAGTTGTGGTGTATAGGTCAGATAAACAGGCACAGGCAGCCAGGAATGAGAAGTAACAGGTTACGTGTAAGCAGAGTACATTCAAAAGCTGTACCATTTAAGAAATCATGTACAGACTGGACAAAAGAGGCTGAAGTATTGATTCTTGTGGTTGCTACTCCACAGGCTGATCTACTGACATTACATGTTAAACAAATTTGGGACAGAAGATTGATCAATAACAGTATATATTTACCTATTTCCTCTGTTTAATCATTTACATGTTTGTCCAGCCAGCTCATGTCACTTCCAGTTAACTAAAGCTTTTACTGGCAAGAGGGTATGGACACGCACCCCACCATCAGAACAGCCACACACTCTCACTGTACCAAAGGGTCTTCTACACCTGATCTCAAGTGTATTACTACAGGCTAAATATGGGCTTTTTGTCATGGATACATTATAGTTCAATTAAATAAAATCTTTATCGTCCATGGAGGGCAATTCTGGATCAGCTTAACCCCCCACCCCAACCTCAGGTGAAACGCACTGCACAACAAGAAAGAATACTATCACAAATGAGAAACATGCTGTGCATTCAAATATACACATTAAACAACAAATATCAGCAGACATCATGTTTAGAAAGTACAAGCAAGAGCATGCAAGCAATGAATACAGTGCAACAATAAGAGGTGGACTATAGTTGACGGTTAATGGCAACTTCTGCTTTAGGGATAAAGGAGCCTTGAGCTCTGGACTTCCTGATCCTCTGGACCCCATTCCTCTGACCAGAAGGCAAAAGGTTGAGCTCCTGCTGCAGGGGGTGGGATGGGTCAGCCAAGATGGACATTACCTTTCTTACCAGGTGTCTATTCAAAGAGTGTTTTCAGGAAGGCGGCAAGTAAGACTTACGTCTTTTTCTTAGTTGATTGTTTGGTACATGTGTGTTGATGCGTATGCTGTCTGGTATGCCTGTGACTTTGCATTCTGAAAGGAGTCGTAGTGATGAAACCACAGAGAATAATCACCCGACTCTGCGGTTCCCTCAGTTCTAGCTTTATGGTGTCTTTAGCTCGTTGTTGATTTGCCGGCCCGCAATTTTACTATTTTGGTTCATTCTCACCTCTCTCATAGTAATGGTAAATGGATTGTACTCATATAGCACCTTTCCAGTCTTCCAAACCACTCAAAGCGCTGTACACCACGTGCCACATTCACCCATTCACCCATTCAGACTGTGATGGCAACATACATACACCAATCTCAAAGCACTTGGATATGCCAGGTTTGGTTATGCTTTTCCATAAATATGTTAATCATTGCTCTATATTTTTATAGTTTTCTAAACCTTTTCTCTTTATGTTGACTAAAATAATAGTTTGTTGACATACTGTTTCCTGTTGCCTAGGAGATTAGGGAGGGATGGGAGAATTTGGCTCGACACTAGACTTCCTCAAGAATGAACATGTGGAACGTAGTCTTTACTCTCCAAACATATGTACATGCTTATGCTTTTAAAGGCAGAAAACAGACCAAAAGAGAATATATATGTTTTATTAAAATGACCAACTACAGCAGTGAAGACACTGGATCAGTCCAGAACTGGTCTAACTGTTTACTTTTCTTAATCATTTACATGTTTGTTCAGCCAACTGATGTTTATTGCACCAGACTGACTCAAAATCTTTAAATGCAAGTGGGCAGGCTCATCTCACCATCATGACATGTCTGACGCATGCCTAATACTCTATCATGTCTTCTTCCTCGCACACACATGAACTCAAGTTGATCATTATGGGGTATATACAACTTCCTTATATCTACAAATCTGAATATAATATTATGTGCCTTTATTAGTTCTTCATTCACAGTACAGGGTCCTGTAAGAGATAATAAAGAAATACAATTTTATTAATTTTGAGGAATCACTGTACACAGCATACTCCATATAACATTAATCCTAGTTCTAGGAAACTAAATACATTTTCCCAAATGTAATCAGTAACATATTCTGTTACAATACTCAACATACAGTGAAAATAAAAAGTACAATATCTCCCTCTGAAATGTAGTGCAGTAGAAGTTTAAAGGGTCATAAAAAGAAAAGAGTCAAGTGAAGTAAAAGTACTTAAAAACAGTACTTGAGTAAGAGTGGTTACAGTTACATTCTACTGCTGGTAATGTGTAATGGCTCTACATAATTCATAAATAATGCAAAATACTCTATAGAATGCAACATGAAAAACATAAAGGGAATTGTTACTCACTGAGGCATCTCATCTGTCCAATCCATTCACCATTGACGCAGGTTTTGTGAGGCTGACCATCCATAGTGTAGTAATTTTGACACATGTATTCAACCCTTTCATTATGGTTGTACTGGGATTTGAGAGACGCCCTAATGTCTCCATCTGTAAGGGGTGGTGGTCTCTGACAGCCCACAGGACCTACAGTAAATATGGGCAATGACAGAGAAAGAACAAGTTTCAACAATATTATCACATTTATGACTATAAAGGCATTTTCACATGGAGGTCTTTGACTCTGATCAGCAGTCGAACACAGTCTCGGGGAGTAAAATATTACATGTGTCCGAGTTAAGTAATCAGATTATTAGCAGGATTACACTTTTAAAATGCATTTAAAAATAAAGAACGATACACTACCATGCACATGCGCAAACATTACAACACTTCACAAGTCTTACAACACCACTCTGGTCTCGAGTGAAACCATAGCCAATCTTACAGTTGTTAATTCATTGTTATGGCCTCTTCAAGTTCAATTGGTGGAAATTTCACCATTACTTTATATTTAGAGCAGAAAAGAGGACCAACATCACAGTACAGTTATGGCCATCAGCAAGTTATGCACTGTGAAAACTGTATATAGGCTATAATTAATCCAACGGAAAGTTTTGTTACATTAATATTGTCATTAGGTTATTGACTACATTTTTAAACAGGTAATTAGTCCATTTATTAGATTACATTTTTGAAGTAACTCTCCCAGCTCTGCTTACATAGTATTTTGCAGTTACATGTTTTGTGGGGGGTGGGGGGTCAGGCTCACTTCTAAGAGGGGTCAGGGAATGGATGGTAAAGAGAGATGGAAAGAGACAGAGACAAAGGTGTACAGCAACAACTATACTAGCAGAAATGACTAATGATGATGATGATAATGATGACAACAATGACGCCAATAGCCACAACTATGGGGAATGAATAATAATAATAATAATAATAATAATAATAATAATAGTAATAATAATAATGAATATAGTAATCATCAAATTATATTGCCATGGGTTGCTTCCTCTAGGTCCCCAAATCACCTGGACATTATGATTTCTAAATATTTCTAGAATCTATCTAAAAACTGTTTAAGTGTACAGTCTGTAAGATAGAAAAAAACTAAACAAAAATGGAATTTTCCATATTTATCCCCACAACAAAACATTTAACAATAAATGAAATAGTAATATCAAAAGGAATGTTGAACCACCCGGTCTTACCTTGACTTTCCACAAAGATGAGTGTATGCATCCACAAAAAGAGGACACAGCTTCGGGTTATTGCGTTCATTTTCTCTTCAGTACCCTGAACCGTCAAACAGAAGTAGAAACTGGAGACTGAAACACTGTTATACGCAGACAGAGTTGTGGATCTCACAGGCAAAAAGAGATTGCCCAATGATTAACGCAAGTCTGTTCCAGCCTCCAGCTACAATCTCAGGCTCAAAGGGAAGAGAATAAAAAGCTGATGTGACCACACACAACACCTTTACACACCCTACCCCTAAGCCTGAAAACACCTTAAGTTGGTATACTCAGATTTATATTGTAGAATAAGCTCACTGAATCATGGAAATGACTTAACATAATATTATACTCACATAGATACTAGTCTAATTTTAAAGGGTATTTTGTAAAACAATGCAATAGTGTTTCAGTGGTTCATGTCCTGCACTGTAAGGCTTTGCTGTATTTATCATTGAGTGACAAATAAGAGTATTCCTGTAAGAGTTTATTTTCTAAAAACTTTTTTTAACATCAGATTCAGATACTTTAGTTAAAGGTCCAGTGTGTAGGATTTAGTGACAACTTGTGGTGAAGTTGCAGATCATAACAAACTGAACACCGCCTGCTGCTGTATTTGATGACCTGGGAATGAGAACGGGCTGTGAAGTGTGTAGGAGAAACTACGGTGACCACGAAACATGGCAGACTCCATTGAACGGACCAGTGGTGCCGACAATTCATTGTATAGTAACAAAATCACAGCAGTATTATACGCCCTTAGTAAATGCTTTTATTGGGCCTCAAAGCTCCAAGACCATGCATTTTAAATAAGTCCCCTGTCAGATCAAGATGTCCCTGATTGCATAAACATAAATCTAAAGATCACTTTATTGGTGCCCAATTTCAAGTATATAATTTGTGTTGAGGCCTCTGCACACATTTAAAGTAAAACTATCCATCCCAGTTATCTGATACCCCTCATCCCTCCCACCATATTAAACAAAAACATCTTTCAAAGAAATACTTTTAGAAAAAAAATACTTGTTGCGATTAGTTTTCAACCAATGCAGGTATTAGCATTAGATAATCAAAGTTGTGGTGTATAGGTCAGATAAACAGGCACAGGCAGCCAGGAATGAGAAGTAACAGGTTACGTGTAAGCAGAGTACATTCAAAAGCTGTACCATTTAAGAAATTATGTACAGACTGGACAAAAGAGGCTCAAGTATTGATTCTTGTGGTTGCTACTCCACAGGCTGATCTACTGACATTACATATTAAACAAATTTGGGACAGAAGATTGATCAATAACAGTATATATTTACCTATTTCCTCTGTTTAATCATTTACATGTTTGTCCAGCCAGCTCATGTCACTTCCAGTTAACTAAAGCTTTTACTGGCAAGAGGGTATGGACACGCACCCCACCATCAGAACAGCCACACACTCTCACTGTACCAAAGGGTCTTCTACACCTGATCTCAAGTGTATTACTACAGGCTAAATATGGGCTTTTTGTCATGGATACATTATAGTTCAATTAAATAAAATCTTTATCGTCCCTGGAGGGCAATTCTGGATCAGCTTAACCCCCCACCCCCAACTCAGGTGAAACGCACTGCACAACAAGAAAGAATACTATCACAAATGAGAAACATGCTGTGCATTCAAATATACACATTAAACAACAAATATCAGCAGACATCATGTTTAGAAAGTACAAGCAAGAGCATGCAAGCAATGAATACAGTGCAACAATAAGAGGTGGACTATAGTTGACGGTTAATGGCAACTTCTGCTTTAGGGATAAAGGAGCCTTGAGCTCTGGACTTCCTGATCCTCTGGACCCCATTCCTCTGACCAGAAGGCAAAAGGTTGAGCTCCTGCTGCAGGGGGTGGGATGGGTCAGCCAAGATGGACATTACCTTTCTTACCAGGTGTCTATTCAAAGAGTGTTTTCAGGAAGGCGGCAAGTAAGACTTACGTCTTTTTCTTACTTGATTGTTTGGTACATGTGTGTTGATGCGTATGCTGTCTGGTATGCCTGTGACTTTGCATTCTGAAAGGAGTCGTAGTGATGAAACCACAGAGAATAATTACCCGACTCTGCGGTTCCCTCAGTTCTGTGGAGCTTTATGGTGTCTTTAGCTCGTTGTTGATTTGCCGGCCCGCAATTTTACTATTTTGGTTCATTCTCACCTCTCTCATAGTAATGGTAAATGGATTGTACTCATATAGCACCTTTCCAGTTTTCCAAACCTCTCAAAGCGCTGTACACCACGTGCCACATTCACCCATTCACCCATTCAGACTGTGATGGCAACATACATACACCAATCTCAAAGCACTTGGATATGCCAGGTTTGGTTATTCTTTTCCATAAATATGTTAATCATTATATTTTTATAGTTTTCTAAACCTTTTCTCTTTATGTTGACCAAAATAATAGGTTGTTGACATACTGTTTCCTGTTGCCTAGGAGATTAGGGAGGGATGGGAGAATTTGGCTCGACACTAGACTTCCTCAAGAATGAACATGTGGAACGTAGTCTTTACTCTCCAAACATATGTACATGCTTATGCTTTTAAAGGCAGAAAACAGACCAAAAGAGAATATATATGTTTTATTAAAATGACCAACTACAGCAGTGAAGACACTGGATCAGTCCAGAACTGGTCTAACTGTTTACTTTTCTTAATCATTTACATGTTTGTTCAGCCAACTGATGTTTATTGCACCAGACTGACTCAAAATCTTTAAATGCAAGTGGGCAGGCTAATCTCACCATCATGACATGTCTGACGCATGCTTAATACTCCATCATGTCTTCTTCCTCGCACACACATGAACTCAAGTTGATCATTATGGGCTGAATACAGCTTCTTTTTATCTACATATCTGAATATAATATTACGTGCCTTCATTAGTTCTTCATTCACAGTACAGGGTCCTGTAAGAGATAATAAAAAAATACAATTTTATTAATTTTGAGGAATCCCTGTACACAGCATACTCCATATAACATTAATCCTAGTTCTAGGAAACTAATTACATTTTCCCAAATGTAATCAGTAACATATTCTGTTACAAAACTCAACATACAGTGAAAATAAAAAGTACAATATCTCCCTCTGAAATGTAGTGCAGTAGAAGTATAAAGGGTCATAAAAAGAAAAGACTCAAGTGAAGTAAAAGTATTTAAAAACAGTACTTGAGTAAGAGTGGTTACAGTTACATTCTACTGCTGGTAATGTGTAATGGCTCTACATAATTAATAAATAATGCAAAATACTATATAGAATGCAACATGAAAAACATAAAGGGAATTGTTACTCACTGAGGCATCTCATCTGTCCAATCCATTCACCATTGACGCAGGTTTTCTGAGGCTGACCATCCATAGTGTAGAAATTTTGACACATGTATTCAACCCTTTCATTATGGTTGTACTGGGATTTGAGAGACCCCTTAATGTCTCCATCTGTAAGGGGTGGTGGTCTCCGACAGCCCACAGGACCTACAATAAATATGGGCAATGACAGAGAAAGAACAAGTTTCAACAATATCATCACATTTATGACTATAAAGGCATTTTCACATGGAGGTCTTTGACTCTGATCAGCAGTCACTCACAGTCTCGGGGAGTAAAACATTACATGTTTCCAAGTTAAGTAATCAGATTATTAGCAGGATTACACTTTTAAAATGCATTTAAACTGTTACAACAATTGTTAATTCATTGTTATGGCCTCTTCAAGTTCAGTTGGTGGAAATTTGACCATTACTTTATATTTAGAGCAGAAAAAAGGACCAACATCACAGTACAGTTATGGCCATCAACAAGTTATGCACTGTGAAAGGGCTATAGTTAATCCAACGGAAAGTTATGTTACTTTTGTTTTCATTATTATTAGGTTACTGACTACAGATACATATTTTGTGGCCTAAATGTAAAGCTAGTAGGTAAATGTAAACCACAAAACTAGAGACAAATGAGTCATTTCTAGAAAAGCTCTTTTAGTCTCTTTCTTATAGAAGCCAATACATAGTATCGATGCACTACCAATTTATGAGTTACACCTAAACTTTATTTTAGAGCTGGTTTAGACAACATTTTAGAGAGGTGGGTACATTCAACTTCATGGTAAAGTTGGTTTATTTTAAAGCCAGTGAGAATGTCTTAAGTTAGAGTCATTTTCAGTGACGGCTGGTGGAGATTTTGGGTGGGTGGGCTAACAAATGCATTACACTCATCAACACGTCACACAGCAGCAACAGCAGCATCGCATCAAGTTACAGCAACGACATTGTATACTTTGTTATAGCAAGGGCTCTACGGCAACACTGGGGAGACATACCCAAAAGAATGACCTGATGCAACAAAAAAAACCATCTCTCTCTCCTCTGTACACATCAGCACATGCCAATTGTGCTACGACAACATTATAGAAAAGTACCAGAAACAATTTGCAACACCATAAATCTATCAAACCAAAGCAAAATTAATTATTTGTAGAAGAGAGAGTTGTTTCAGAGCTTGGGTATTCCCTATTTAAAACGCCGCTCACATCGACGGCCTTTCTGTGACGCAAACAGGTTAATCACCATGTCAAACTCCACTCTGCTGTACCTCACCATCAGCTCACCTTTCAGTTTCTCCCTGCAGATCATTGGGTAATGTGCACATGCAAAGACAACAAGTGCCTGGCTTTCTCAAAGCGCACTGTGAGGCTACTGACACATAATCAGAGCGCCACATCCTGTGCGGTGTTACAGCGGCTGCAGCTGTGTCCACATCTGGATGTGGCTGATGGTCATCTGTGGTCAGCAGTTCAGATATGGAGCACGAAAAATTCTCCAGGCCCTGTCTCGTTTTGAGACAATCTGTGGTCTTAGACGTGTACTTTGCAACCTGAGTGTTTGACAGGTGATCAGCTAATTGACTGTCTAAAAAAGAGAACTGGAGTGAAGTGGGAGATTCGTCGGACTCCCGCAGAGCGAGCTTGTGTCCCCCACAAAATGTAATACAGTCCACAGTCCGTGATAGTGAATGTCTGTGTTTCTTTACCAGCTCGTTGTGACTCTGTTCAGGATGCAGTGACCCTCATTAAGCTGACGGTCGATGTTCACTTTACCCAGCAATCACAACTTTATGTTATTTCCAATGTGGCTTGTGCTGCATTCATGTTTCCTAATTTTGTCGGATAAATATTTTAAATTCACAATTCCTTGTTGGGTCCAAACCGAGTCTCCTCCAAACAGCAAACATGGAAACGAGAAAAGTGAATTCCTAGCTACATTTGCTGTAAGCCAGTCCTGAAACCACGGAACACAAAACTACAATTTTGTGTTATTTGTACATCGTTTGGATGATGTGTTCCCAATCTCTGTACTTCCAATTTTTTCTCCAAAGACTTTAAAGAAAATTGATTAGAAAGTAAATAATCCACCTCGTTCATGTTCATGCTAACGCCCGCCATACTAGCCTCACTGTACTGTAGTTACTGCGCTGTGATTGGTTGAAGGTCACTGTACTGTAACTACTGTGCTGTGATTGGTCGAAGGTCAGCCTTTGGGCTAAATGAAATTAGCCCAAATGGGCAGCATATGAAGGGGGCGTGTCACGACACCTGTCAATCACAATCGAATGAAAGCTTGCTACTGTGCTTGGGCTGAATACATTTAGCCCATTCAAAGGAAAAAACCCAAGATAAATCATATATCCTGTTTTTTTTCTGTCACTTTTTGGTGCTGTTGCTGCTCTAGGTTATACCAAAATTCAAAACAATATGTTCTAAGGTTATTAATAATAGTTTTTCAGCTTTACTGTAAAAGATAGGGGGGGCTTAGCCCCGTATATACCAGCCATCCCTGGTCATTTTTATGAAACTTGAAACATTAAGAAGCAATAAGAATACTGTAATCTAGGGCGGGATAGCAGGGCAAATGCAGAAAATCAAGCCCTCTGAGATCACTGTGCACTGTGGGAAACATCTGAAAGTTAGGTCATGGATAATATTCTCTCATCATTTCCCCAGATAAGGCTAAAAGGCAAGAATTGATTTACCTGCACATGTTGGGAAGGGATGACTCCACTGTCCACCTGGTAAACATCGAACCACTTCAGTCCCCTGAATACTGTGTTGACGCTGGCGGCAAGTGAACCTTAAACTTTGTCCTTCTCTTAGTCCATTTTCTGGTACATTTGTGTTGAGCTTTACGCTGGGTGGTACATGTGCGACTCTGCAGTTCTCTGTTTTGAAAAAGAGAATCTGTTTTATCAAGAAGTTTATACAGTTGAAACAGTAGCATATTAGACATAAAGATCTGATTCTTGGTTTTCATTAATTCAAATATGCTGCAATTTTAAGTTCAAATCTCTGTAAATGTATGTAAACTCACTACTTATATATACAAGTTTCAATATGGATGTCTCTTTTCTATTAAAGAGGATATAATCATTCAACAGTCAATGTACTGTGTGTTTGTGAAAGGAGTCGTAGTGATGAAACCACAGAGAATCCTCACCCCACTCTACAGTTTCCCTCAGCTCTGTGGAGCTTTATGGTGTCTTTGGCTCATTGTTGATTTGCCGGGGGCAACTTTGCTGTTGGTGCTAACCGCTCATTAGAAATGAACTAATCCCATTCAGACATGCTCACAGGGAGCAATTTCAGTATCTAGTATAGTAGTAGTAGACCTTCTGTTTAATGGATGAACTGCTCTGAGCCACAGACACCCCAGATGTGTTCACCAAAACAATTGGTGGGGACCATACAGAGCTGAAGTGTGGACATTGGACTCTCATTTGCCACGTGGCTTTACTCAAAACACGATAATCCAATATGATAACCAGTGTTAGTGATGTTCCATAGCTTGTTTCTGGTTCCCCCAAGTAGCAAAAAAATCCCAAAACAAAACAAAAAAAAAATTACAAAACAATTACAGGTTCTATTATTGCTATGTAGACAGCAAAATTACTTCCTCTTATTTTGACCTGTTGTCACTCTCTGAGCTTAGTGTGATCTTTCCTCCATCATCCATCCATCCCTGTGTCTCTTATCTATAAACAATCATAAAATATTTGAATATTGTCCTTTCAATTCAATTACCATACATTTTGTTATTTTGTCCTGTGAATCTCTGTACTGTGTCTCTGTACTGTGAATTAATATTTAATTTAAATATATAAAGATGAGTCCACTCAAAAGCATGAATGGGATTAACTTCAAATGAGAGTGAACATACCTGAACAAGTTGGAAAGGGTGTATTCCACTGCCCAGTTCCCAAACATTCAATTTCTTCCGACCCTTCCAGTAAATGTGGATTATTGCATCGAAACTGTAATTTATGTCCAACCTTCACTCTTTCATTTGCTCGTTGTTCTCCAATTACATTGAGATGACTGGACATCACCGCAACGACACAAGTGACGTCTGGAACAAATAAAATATTATCAAATGAAAAACATTCTGTGGTCTGGGGTTTATGTCCCACAGGGGCCACCCTTTTAATGTATGCAGGCATTTTAGTTCATTGTGACATGCTTTACAATTGGAAGTATCACATTAATATTGTGTACAGAATAATTATTTTATTACCTTCACAAGTAGGTAATGGCTCATTCCACTGTCCATCGTTTCCACATATCAGCCTTGAACTGCCATTTAGAAATTTCCCATATTGACAGCTGAATGTGAGGAAGCGGTCAGGAAGTATGGGTTCATCGTTTTCTGGTAAACCTTTAACTATTAACCCTCCATCTGCAGGCGGGTAGTCACAGCTAAAAGCTGAGTAAACACATCAGCCAGGTCAGTGAATGAAAAAAGGCAAGAAGTTGATGTATATTTTATCAGCCAAAATCCCACACTGGGGCTTTAATGGAGAGAAGAGCCTCCCCATTGAGTTCCACAGTAGGAGGGGTTGTTTTTCCACATTCATTTTCAATGATACCCTCATTGTTACTGAACATAGAAGCAAGGACTCTACTAGATAATCTGAGAACCCTAGAGGTTTATGTTATGACCATCAGTTTTCATTTTTCAGCTTAATTTCTGAGAAATCATATTTTGTTGTTTTGGGTTTTGGGTGCATTAAAATCAATGAGTCAAAATCTTTAGCTCCCACCTGTCATTAGCGTAATAGGATTTTATGTTTCTGGCCCCAGTGGACATTGGGAGTTGTTAACCTCTGTCCCAAAGTTTTTATGTGCACATGCTTGTACAAACAACTTGCCAGTGCAGCTTTAAAGTGCAGCTTTAAAGTTGACAGTAACAACACAGAAGCAAGTTCTGTCAATTACAAAGACTTACGATCACATATTGGCAAATGATTGCTCCATTTGTCCAGTTTACAAGTCCTGGTGTCAGTCTTACTCACCATTTGATACCTGCAATGAACAGATCCGATGAGATGCCCTATACATTTATAATCAGTATTTACAACTAATGATTTATAACAGACACGCTTACAAAGGCTGTGATACCGGTATTTCTAGTTTCTATAATAATAATATAATAATTACAGATCCACTTACCCTTCATTACAAAAGTATTTGACAGTTGTTCCAAAAACAAAGTCTTCACCGTGGATAATTTGATAATAGCCATTGGGAGTTTCCTCAGGAAGTACACAAGGCTTTACTTGAAAGAAAAAAGAGGTAATTCATCAACCAATCAGTTTCATCAAGTTTCACAAGTCATTTTGTTAAACCCAGTTTTGAATTTTGCACCTTATTCTTTATTGGACTTTTGTTAAAAGCACTAGCAAACTGACAGTGACGTGATTTTGTTCCAGCTTAATTCTTTTCATAAAAACACTGTTTCATAAAAACACTGCAGAAGCCATGTTATTATTTTGTAGCTTTGAAGAGGTAGGTTGATAGAAATTACTAGAAATTGTTATAAGCAAAATAATGCAGCATTTTTTTCCAACTCTCTAGTTACCATAAATTGATTAATTGGCTATTTAATTACAATGATGTCAATAGTAATGTCAAATTAGAATTTTTGGGAATAAATAAATCTCTGTTTGTTGTAACCTCCAAGAACAAGAAAAGAAAGCCATTTAACTCACAGTAGCATTTTCCCTTGTTGAGTGCCACCCAGCCTTCGTCTGTACATACAAATCTGATGGCTGGACCCGATATGTAACCAGTTTCACAAGTGAATCGTATCACATTTCCTCCTTGGTACTCATCTTTTTTAGTTTCTTCTGACACGTAGGCATTAGAAACTTCTGGGACCGCTGAACAAGTTACTATCAAACAACAAAATGGGGAAAAAAGAAGAAATTGGACATTTCTTCTCAACAGTTGTGGGCTACAGATGCCATTTTTCGGAGCCATATCAAAACATGTGAATCAGAAGATCTTGAAGTATGTGAAGAATATACTTCTGGAGACTATACTGTGCATACTTAAGCCAACTATCCCACTATACACTCATCCTGCAGTAATAAGACAATACCACAAATCAAAACATAAAATATTCACACTTCTAGAAAGCCAGTATTTAAAAAAAAAAGGTTTCTTACTATTCTGTGATAAAGGAACTTGCTCAGTCGTCCACAGTTGAAGAAACAAAAGGATTAAAGGTGACCACATTTCGACAAGCAGCTGTGCAGTGACAAACAAGAGTCTCACTGAGGCAAACTCCTCTGACAAACTCAATGCAATTCCTATGTTTTTGTCCCCAGCCACAGTCAACAGGGAGCACTAAGGGTCACAACATTTGCCCAGTGGGATTGCACAAGGCTGTATGAACACAACATGACACAAGGGAACATGCACAGCCTGCACTGTTCATATAAACAACACCACAAGCTCTGGGAAAGTCCACTTAGAGTATCTTTCGAGCAAAGAAATGTATTTCTCTGCTATCACATCAAATTAATTCATAAAATGCTGCAAGAGAGTCTCCTTCTTCATATTTCTTACAGGACCCTTCATATTTAAAGGTCCCCTTTACCCCAACACAACTAGAAAATAACTTACTAACAACTCTCTGAAAACAACACTAAGAATAAAAAAAAACCTACCTCTCTTGACATGCAGCACATACAGACAACTTTAGGACTATTTTGAGCTGCATAAAAACAGTTTAAAGCTAAATGTCTGATATGTTTGTAAGTATCTGTCTGTTCTGTTAGTACTGATTACCACATTCAACTTGGCATGAGCAGTGTTGATAATACAGTACAAAGTCTGTTTTAAAAATCGTTTGGATCAGTCAATGACGCAATTGGTACTGTTGGTACTGAGAGAGCAAAACAGTTTATTTGCACTATAAAGATTCATACTTAAAAGTTCACCAAATGAGAAATGCTGCTGAGGAAATATAATTCCTTCAAACTGTAAGTGTCACTTGTGTTACTCAACTTGAGGACATTGTATTGACCTACATTAATCCTGATTCCCCAGTTTTACTATAATCTAATTTTAACCAAAAACCCTTAAACATAGAGGGCAGATTAAACATTTAGCCCTACAAACATTTCAAGGATGAGCACAATGAAGTTGTGCAGTTTAGCTATAGTATTTGCTATGTCATGTAGGTAAGGTAGTTAAGTATAGATAGTGGGCCACACTTTTGAGAGAGATGACTGACTGAAATATATGTTCTGCCAAGATGAAACCTGATTTGAAAGCCCAAAGACACTTTTGATATGTTTGTTTGGATTCTCTGTGGCCCTCATGGCCCCCTGTGAATTCCTGTCCTGGTATGAACTGATGTTTGTATGTGTGGTTGTAAGAAAGCTCTGCACAAACAACAAACAAACAAACAAACAAACAAACAAACAAAAAAGTCTCTTTGGACATTAAAATGTATATTACCTTTTCAAAATGATTTATAAAGTTCTGCACCAACATCTTGGTACAAGTATTTTATACACTACATCAGGGGTAGGCAACCTGTGGCCCCACAGTCACATGCAGCTCTTTCGGTCCTCTCTTGGCTCCCTGTGGCTCTGATAAAAAATTAGATGGACACGAAAAACCTTTGCTTTTAACATTTTCTGTTTACTGTTGTAGGCCTAAAGTGATTCTTATATTGTCAAATTGTAAAAATGTGTAGCCTTTACACACCACAAAAAACATAATTGGCTGATGTCCCATCTACTATAATGGGGGAGCAGGCTTCATGACCTATACTGCTGTCAGCCACCAGGGGGCGATCAAGATGTTTTGGCTTTACTTTTGGGGCGCTGTCATGTCGTCCATCTTATATTGATGGTGCAGACCTGGTTGGTTTGTCATCCATATTATGCCAAAACCTCAGTAGTGGTGGTTACTAGTCTTGAGTCTAGTCTAACTAAGAATTCCTTATCCAAAAAATGAAAATTGAAAAGTACATAGACTCCATATACTGTATTTAGTCATTATACAAATAGAAACACCAAACAAAGCATTTTTCTCATCTTTCATTCAATATGCCAGAGCTTCATCATTTCAGATCACACTATCATACAAACAATTGATTCAATCATTCAGTGTTGCTCTTTCCAACAATCATATGTATTAGGATCATGTATGACATTTAAGATATTACATCATTATGAATAATGCACATGGCAAATGTTGTCTTTGTGTTCTTCCCAAACAATTGATGCAAAAAGATCATAGAAAAGTTCAGCATTTTTACTAAGAGTCCTTCAGACCATCAGCATTAACTGCAGGAGCTGCATCATCGGCGGGAGCTGCAGGAGCTGCTGTATCTGCAGGAGCTGCATCATCGGCGGGAGCTGCTTTATCTGCTTTATCTGCAGGAGCTGCATCATCGGCGGGAGCTGCTTTATCTGCTTTATCTGCAGGAGCTGCATCATTGGCGGGAGCTGCTTTATCTGCAGGAGCTGTATGATCGGCGGGAGCTGTGGTAGGTGCCGAAGGTGTGGGAATTGTGGGATAGTTTCAAAAACAAGCAGTGAGGGTAAATCAGGCATCCACTTATAAATAACCTTTAGGTTTTGAAATAAAACAAAGCTATTATGGTTCTGAGGTGTCTTTGTGTTGTGTGAGTCCTCTGAGGATTTTTTTAACCAGGCATGTTATAATTTATTTTATTTTATTACTCATGGTGTTATGTGGTCCTAGGTTGCTGCATCACACCTAGCACCCACCCTCGTAGGTGCCAGTCTTTCCCTAAAAGGACACAGTTCAGTCTGGTACCACAGTAGTCTGATCACAACTCGTAGATATGAATTTATGATATTCGCCTGGAACGCAACTCCACCATGATTAGTACTCACATGAAGTACAGAGACAATTACTTTGGTAGTAATTGTCTTTTGTCACAAGGTGCAGATTGACCAAATAATTTTAAAATCACAGTCTGACCCAACAATGTATTTGTCACTTGGTGTTTAAGACGCCACTATGGACAAAAGTGTCTGTCTAATGAATAAATGTCAAATGTTAAAAATACTATTCAAGCAATTACAAATATGGGCAAACTTAGTTTAGGTGTGTTTACCCTTCATTACATGCTTTGTGACATCCAAAAGGATAGATTTGTATTTTAATCTCTCTTAAACGGCAAGTGTAGGATTTAGTCGCATCTCGAAGTTTCAGAATACAACCGACTGAATACCATCACTCCTTCCAAGCATGTAGGAGAAACTACGGTGGCTTCGAAACTCTCGAAAACTGTCAATTTAGAGCCAGTGTTTGGTTTGTCTGTTCTCAACTACTGTAGAAACTTGGTGGTTCAACATTGCAGACTCCATGAAAGACTACCCACTTTCCTGTGTGTGCTTCTCAAGAAAGCATTTCCTTGCTGAGCTGAATACAGAATCCCCCTCCCCCCCACAAATTTTGAACTGACACATTTCTTCAAGCCAGTATGTTCCCTTTACCCTTGCTGAAACACATTATAACATGATGGAGAGCTGAACCGCAGCTTGAACTCAACAGCAACAAACCACCAAACACAAAATGTAATTTAATTTACACTGTTCTTTTATACATTCATAATAAATGAAAATCAGCAGGCTAAATGGCTTGACTGTGACTGAATGACTGTGAAATGCTTTTGGCTTTACTTACCTTTTGTACATGTAATGTTGTGGTCCCATTCTTCATTTACACATTGAAGTGTATGCTGTCCCTCCATTCTATAACCTGTACGGCACTCATAAGTGACTTCAAAGTTCTCTTTATATGAAGTCACAACTGAATTCTCAACTTTGGGTGGGAGACTGCAGTTTTGCAACGCTGGAAGAGATCAACACATTAACAATATGAGGTTACGCCCTGTAATCTTTTTTTATAAAACTGATAAAACAGAATAGGACTCACGTTCACAGATTGTTTCGAGTGATGATGCAGCCGAACGCCATTGTCCCTCATTACAAGTTAAGATGTCAAAACGAGGCCGGTATCCTTCGTTACATGTAATCTCGACCCTTTCATTTTGTCTATAACCATAATGTTGAAGTTGATCTCTCACTTCCCCATTAGGAATCACTGGAATTTTTCCACATTTTGTTTCCTCTAGGGTGGATATTATTACAAACATACAAAATATAATATCAGTAACACACAACACAAAATTGATACCAATAATAAATAAACAAAATCTTTCCTTTCAAAATCAATGAAGGTTTACGAATGTTATCAGGAATAATTGGTTTATTTAGCTTATTGTACAATATGTTGTGGCTGTGTTCGTACCCGATTTAGTTTTCTAAAGGAACTCACTGCAACCTGGGATTGGCCTCACTTTCAGAAAATACTGATTGATTATATCCCTAGGAAATCTTTACTTATTCCAACATATTTAAATTTTCCTTTTAAAAATGATGTACAGCTTGTCACAGTTGTCAGTCAGCTCAGAGTTGATTCTCTCCATCAAAAGGCCACTGTGGCCAGTTTGCTTCATGCTGGTTACAACAACTAGACCTGTAAGGCATTAAAGATGACTTACCGATGCATCGTTCTGACGCAAGTCCAGACCACACTTGGCCATTACATTGGGCGGCACCCCACCAGCTTTTTGTGAAAAGCTTATAACCTGTAGTGCAGGTGTAGTACACAATGCCATCGAATGGGCCAATTACAAATCCATTCTGAATTTCAGCTTTTGGACATGCTGTCAATGAAAAACAAAGAAAAGAGTTATAGCCAGATGGCATCACTCAAAAGAGAGAACAACACATTCTTAGCCATACTAATGGCAGGTTGGTTTGTTTATTTGGTCCATCAATTTGGCCCAGTCTGAAATATATCAGAAAGTATATAAAATAAAAAATAAAATTTGATATTTGTGTTGCCCTGAAGATGAATCCTACTGACTTCAGTCATTCTCTGACTTTTCCTATAGTGCCAACAGCAGGTTTACATATGTGGTAAAATGTGGCATGTCTCTACAGCTGTTAGATGGACATGGATTGACAATGACTTTAGTTCACAAATTCATGTTCCCCATTTCTAATCAATTTGGTGATCCCCTAACTCTTAATCTAGAGCAAGGGTTTTCAAGGTCTGAAATGAACAATTTGCACGCCTCCACCCCTCACCCCCTTAATTTACTTGCTTAGTTTTGTTGACTTAACTCAGGACTTGAGCCACAATAGCCTAACTTGTATGACATAAGTTCAGACTACACCAAATACAAATACAAATTTCCCCAAACTACTGTATCTTCGGACCTTCTCTTTAACCAAATCACAATATTCTATGTGATGTCCTTTTGATAACTAATGTAATAACTGATGAAATACTTCTTCACATTCATTGAGCTTCCCATGAAACTGTTCGTAGCCCCACTGTTGTGGGCCAGCCTCCCACTTTGAAAATCTGGTCTGGAGCCATCATCTAGAAGTAAAATTTGACCAGTACTGCTTTATGACCAAATGCCTGAAAAACTGATGACATCAGCCTTGACTGTACTTTTTATATATTAAATGTTAAATATTAGCATGCTAAGTCACCTGACTCTTTTTATTTTCTGTCTTTAGAATAAATTAATTTCAGTTGTTTTAAAGTAGAATCAATTTGCCATTCTTCATTAGTGAAATGACCAAATACACATCTCCTCAAGATAATTGGTTAGGTAAGGTAACAGGTTCTTGCAAACATCAAACCTCTACACCTTTTACTGTGTCACTCTGTTGTTTAGAAATAACGTATTTAAGTGAAATATTGCGATATTTAATAACACAATGTTAGAGTTAATATATTAACATTAATATATGCTGTACTCAAAATGTACTTAGAACATCTGGCATTAAGATAACGAAGATGTTTCAGCATGTCAAACACACACATATACATATATATATATTCATAAATAGTCTTGTGCCTGATATTGTCCAATTTGATCTCTCCACCCTCAAAACTGTGTCCTCCTTTTTGGAATAATGCTATGACCATAGTTTTTAGGTTGTAGCAAGTGGTTTTCACATTATTTCTATTGTATTTTTTTTTTCCTTTTGACTTTGATTTATTAATGTTTTATAGTTTTTATTGTATACATATTTAGCCTTGCATGTTTTTTTTTTTATTTCTTTCAGTGTTGTTCTAATTTTGCTATGGGAACCAGCTGGCAGCATGTTTGTATGAAAGGTGCTCTATAAATAAAATTGAGTTGGGTTGAGTTGAGTTTTTAGGTCCTAAGTAATTGCTTGTATGCACTTTATTGCTCCCAGATAAGATAACTCCAGGATTAAATAACTTCCCTGACACTAATTATAAATCTGAAATATCATGGTTGGCAAATGAAGGCAACGTGGAACAAAATTGTGGAACGTGGAATTAAAACTCCGTTTTTAATCATACAGTGTAATGGTTAATACAGAGTATCCATGACTTAACTAAAGGACCTAGGATCGGTGTGTGTCATGGATTTGAGCTTAGACAGTGCAGTATCTTTAGCAGAGGAGTTATGTGATCCATTTTTCTAGTTTTAGTTAAGACTCAACTAGCTGTAGCTTTCTAATGGACTTTTTAGGTAATTCCTTAAAAACTGAATTACAAAGCGTGAGTGAGAATTCAGCATCATGAAGACTTAAAAAATGTCTGACTTTAGCAATATTCCTATAATATGACAGGGGTGGCCAATATGGTAGTTTCTTAAAATGTACTTTATATGCATGTATAACAGAAATATCAACAGTGAATATGTTTTTCTGTACTTCCTTACCTGAACAAGCTTTTTCCCCATTCCAACCTGATGCCCCACAAGTTCGAGTAAAACCTCCCCCACTGTTGCAGGTATACTCAGCCTGTTCATTGTATTTGTATTTGTATTTACCGTTTCCCTTAATGACTGCAAAGTCATAATATTCTTTGTTGCATAAAATTGCTGAAAATAAAACAAATAACATTTAGTTATTAGCTTGTACACTGAGGAGCAAATGGAAACAACATATTGTTTATGGAGTTGGTATATCAGATTAAGATATTTCAGTTAAGTAAAATACTCAGATATTTCACCTCCAGTAAAAGTTGCAACTCTACCATGTTAAAGCAAATACTGTACATGTTACAGTCCTGCATTTCCAGTTTCACTTATGTTATGTTACAATTAGACAAACCAAAGTACCATATATATACACCAAATGAGATACAACAGCGAATACAGTTGCTAGGTCCTAAGTAAGGTCCTTTTATTGCATCTCAAAGCTCCAAGACAAGTCCCCTGCCACTAATTATAAATCTGAAACTTCATTGCATATTGGTTAATACATGTGTCCGTCTTGAAATTATGCATAGTGTTTGAAACTGTATCACATTAACAGAAGGGGAGGATTATAGCCAAAAATAGCCTTTTGTTTCAGTGTATCTATGATTGAATCTAAGTACCAACATAGGATCAACATGTATCATACATTTGAGCTTTGACAAGGCATGTTTCTCACATTACAGGCGGACTGAACATATCCGGTCTACTGTCTTAAGGTCGTTGTAAGGAGGGCGGAAGCATTGACAGTACATATAATGGAGAGAGCCTCCGGGTCTGTAAAGTGAATCAATGTCTTAAATCTGCATTCTATGTAATGGCCAGCAGGGGGCAGCTCCATTGGCTGCACTAAAAGACCAATAGCATGCAGTCTTACGGAGAAATTACCTGACTTCTTACTTGTTTATGGTCTCAGCCTCTAGTTTCGAAGCTTCTTCCAAACAGCATAATAAATAGAAACAACAAAACATCCCAACAATAAATTTGGTTTGCTGTATTTCATTACCTGTACATTTTGATTTCCCAGTCCAACCATTTGCCTTGCAAATTCGGTGAGGACTTCCTTTATAACCTTCTGTGCAGGCATAATTGATCCGCTCATTGTATTTGTATTCCCACTTGTGCTTGTTGTCAAAATCTGCATTATCGATAGCCTCTCTGATGCATGTTATTTCTGAAAGAAAAAATGCAGTTGTACACATAAATACAGAACAAAGAGACATACAGACATAACCGTTGGCAATGTGGAGACTATGGACTTCAAGAGATTAAGAGTTGTGAATGAGAGTGGTAGTAGTAGTAGGATTACTACAACGTAGAAACGGAGACTAAATAGGCTAGAATAGCAACACAACTGCAGAGAAAGGAGTGATGACCTGCTGACTATTTGGTGGTACTTAAGTATGTAAAATCAAAATATAAGGTTTATATTTCACCGTTGTCCCATTGTTCTCACTTTATCTGGCTCTTTTTTCGAGTAGTAATAAACTGTAGGTAAAATAGTCCACTACATTAATGTTAACGTTAGAAGACATGTCTATTCCTAATATGTATACTGCTGGATCCCAGTGCTTTCTTACAATGTGAATAGTCATTCATAGACATTCAGCATTCTGCTCTGATTTCTGGTTTCTGGCCAATGATTGCAGAGGGAGCAAGGACTTTATTCAACAGCTGAGAAATTTAATCTGGATCCTGGTTCCTCCAGTGCAGTCTTACGGAGAAATGACCTGACATCTCACTTGTTTATGGTCTCAGTCTCTTGTTTAGCAGCTTCTTTAATACAACATAATAAATGTATTTGGTGTATTTCATTACCTGTACATTCTGAATCCCCGATCCAACCATTTTCCGTGCAAATTCGGGAAGGATTTCCTTTAAAACCCTCTGTGCAGGCATAATTAATCCGTTCATTGTTTTTGTATTCCCTCTTACGTTTGTCGACAAAATCTGCATTATCGATAGCCTGTCTGAAGCATATTATTTCTGAACAAAAAAATAAAAAAATAAATGCAGTTGTACACATAAATACAGAATAAAGAGATATACAGACATAACTGTTGGCAATGTGGAGACTATGGACTTCAAGAGATTGAGAGTTGTGAATGAGAGTGGTAGTAGTAGTAGGATTACTACAATGTAGAAATGGATCCTAAATAGGCTAGAATAGATTAGATGCTCAATAAATATGGCACCTGAGGTTTTTTGGGCGTGAATGTGATGTAGCCTCGTACTTCAGGGGCGTGGAGTAGCAGGCAACATGAAACATTTTTTACAGATTTTTGTTTTTTGGTCTACAGGGCAGCCTTTTGGTGGAGAACATTATTAGAGTAAAACAGATTGATAACTGGACCAAAGATCCTTCCTAACTTGAAGAAATATCAACACAAAATTAACAGTAATGTCAAAAACACAAGCTTAACTTCACAGTACCTTGACAAAGTGGATTTGGACTCCACCGATCTCTGGTGCATGTGGCCACGTTGGTGCCATCTGTCCCCTTGTAGCCTCGCCTACACGTATAACCTGTAGTCTCATGCAATTTTACTTGGGTCCAGTATTTTCTCCAGGAAGTCACAAGTGGATCATATTTGTCGCATATAACCTCTAGAATAAGAGAAAGATTTGTGTATCTTAGTAAAATGAGATTAGATTAATAATCATAATCAATTATACACACACATAATCTGTTTCTGGCACTAGAGCCCATGTAGTTTTGTACCTTTGCATACCGGTGTGATAGTCCATTCTCCAAATTCATCGCATTCAGTTCTTACTGAGGTGTCCCGAAGGTTAAAAATCCAGAACTTCTCTGTACATCTGACTGTTATTTCGTCACCAGGTGAAAACAGACTTCTGCCAGGAGGTTCATACGTGGTTCCTTCGATTGGTGGCAGGTTCAGTTGACATTTTATTGCTGCATTTGTTGGGAGATTAAACATATTATTTGTTAGTTTGATGTAGACTATTACCATGACATCCATATATACAGGACCAGTTTTTGCAAGTCAGTGTGTGATGTAACAAATTAATGAAATTACTGTTTATACGTACCTTCACACATAGGTGCAGGGGTCCACTCTGCTCCTGTTCCTACTTTTGTGCATTTTGAAGATCTCCCTTCAGTGCGTTTGTAGTAACGATTGCACTCAAAATGCAGGATTTCTTGTTCCTTGTACACTTGCTTATCTCCAGTCACAAAACCATTTTCAATATCTGGTACTTTACATTCTATTGCTGTTGAAGAATACACACACAGGCATAAATATAAATGGAGCAAAGCCTGCAAGATAGTTTAGGCAGTCAACTCAAGCTGCACTGCTATACACACATGACATGCCTCACACTCTATAATCCTAACCAACACACACCTTTCCAATCTGGCGGTCTATTTAAACTGCACAATTTTCCAGCTCTCCCTTTAATCTGCCCTGCATCAGTATTGCTGCCTGCTGCTCTGTAAGCCCCACCACCACCCCAGCAACCATCTGTAGGCTCCGGCTAGGGGTTTAAGGTATTTGCTCCCCAATATCTCTATGTAAATGTCTGCGGGGAGTAATGAGGTTGGAGACGCCAAAATCTAACTATGCCATAATGCTGGAATAAACATTTCAAACGTGAGTTGTCTGACTGAACTACACTTGTTCATGAAAAGGCAAATATTTTGGGACTGTATGGAATTAAATTCAATGGTATTAACCACGAGTGACAGTTTGAGCATTTTTTTTTCATGATGCATTTTTTCAAATTAATTCCTGAGAACATACTACAGTTCTGATTTACTAATGTATGGAATAATCCTGAGCAGCGTTTCCAGCGTCCCCGGTTTGCAGCTGTGGACCTTTGTGGCATTTCATCTGTACTTTCTTCTGTTTTTTTTAAGGAAATAAACTGGGGTCATTCATTCTCAAAAGAAAGAAAGTTAATACTTATACCAAAATGGCAAACTATCACTTTGAGAGGTGTAATTTCCAAGACCATAACAATCATTCATGGGGTCTTCAGTTACGTTTCAGTTTGAGATACATTTTAGTTTAAACTAACTGTTGGTTGTTATGGTCATACATGGTGTGTATTAGGTGGCCAGTAGTTGTTTTTAGTTTTACTCACTAGCTACTGGGTAATAGTGGTTACCACGGTGTTTTAAGCATGTCTGTGTGGGTTATTGTCTTCCCCTTTCCATCTCTTTTAACCCTCCTGTGCTTCCTGTTTTCATTTTGAACAGTCTGCTTTACCTTGGCATATAGGAACTTTGCCAATCCACTCTCCAGTTTCATCACAGTACATCTCACGAGTCCCAATCAGCATGTCACTGTTGGACTTGCAGCTAAATCGAATTACATTGCCATAGGTTGCTTCCTCTGGGTCCCCAATCACCTGGACATTATTGGCCACATGAATCACTGGGCACTGTTGGGCTTGAAGGATAAAACAAATAAACTGGTTGACCAAAAGGCTTTCAAAAGACTTCAGACTTTCAAATGTATTGACCTCTCAGCAGGTAAGCAATACAGTTTTAATATTTCTAAAGGATAATAATTTCCATTTCCCAATGTGTCAGGTAACGGATGAATAAGATCTGTTATTTCAGCTCTTACCTTCACAGACAGGAACAACACCATTCCAGCCTCCAGCCATGCAATTCCGGTAGTTTGTGCGACTGACCATTTGATAACTGAAGCAAGTATAATGTAGGAAATGGATTATGGTAATGTGTCATTAAGATGAATATAAACTGAAAACTTGTTACATCACAGGGATACAATAGTGGGAGAGAACAAAGATACATAGGAAACAACAGTATATATGTGTGATTATTAATATTTTTATACCCTTTGTGGCAGGTGTATACAACTTTTGACCCAAAGACAAAATCCTCTCCCTTATCCAGATGAAAATCTGCAAACTGGGCATCGCCAGGATGACCACATGATTTTGCTTATAACACAAGAATGAGAGAGAATATGAGTAAATATATGTTTGATGCAAGTGGTTCTTCCATAAAAGACCATATTTTATTCATATCATATAATACAGTCAACCTTCTTTGGCATTGTGCACTCAAACCACTGCATTGACTGCATTACATGTTGCATAGTAAATGTTTATTTCTGAAAAGAAATACTGAATGTTAAAGATAGGAACTTACGTTGACATTTATTGCCCTTAGGCTGCCATTGTCCCTCAACACAGAGGATTCTGTAAAAGCCACTGTAGCCAACAACGCAGTTCACTCTCACTTGTCTTCCGCCAGGGTAGCTGGCCTCCAGATCACTTGTGTCAAAATTTGAATCATACAGGGGGCCCTCTAAAAACTGTTTAAGTGTACACTCTGTAACACAGAAAAACAAGACAAAAACAAAAGTAGATTTTTCCATTCTTATCCCCACAACAAAACACAATAAATTAAATGCTAAGATAAAAACTGACTGCAAAAATTACTTGAACTACTTGGTCTTACCTTGACTTTTCACAAAGGTCAGTGTATGCATCAACAAAAAAAGGACACAGCTTCGGGTTATTACGTACATTTTCTCTTCATTACCCTGACCCTCCAAGCAGAAGTAGAAACTTGAGAATGAAACACAGTTATACACAGACAGTGCAGGAAAAAGAAGATTGCTCAATGATTTACGCAAGTCTGTTCCAGCCTCCAACTACTCAGGCTCACAGGACACAGAAAAGCTGGTATGACCACACACAATACCTTATATGACACACTCAGTCCTTAGCAAAACCTTGAATACACCTTATATTGATGTATGACTAAGATTTACATTGCAGAATAAGCTAGTTGAATCATGGAAATGACACAGATCTAGTGTATAGGGTATTTTTAGTTTTATATATTTTTAATGTAATGCAACAAGAGTTTCAGTGGTTTCAAGGCCCTGCATTATCAGATTTTGCTATGTTTATCATTCATTGACAAAAAAAGAGTATTCCTGTAAAAGTTTATTTGTTTTTTTCCTCCTTGGTAATCATTTGCAGTCAATCAATTGAACAAACAAAATGTTGCATTTCAGCAAGTCTGCTATGGCTCTTCTTGTCTAGTATATATAAAACTGAAAAAAAGACCAAAACAGCAAGTCGGTTCACCACTAGATAAAAATATGTTCATTATATAAAACTAACCTGAGTTTCTTTTGTGTGCATAATTGTCACTGTTAAGACACAGTTTATACAAATGTTTGTTGGTTGATGGCCTTGTAAAAGTAGACACAGCTGCCAAAAGGGAAACAAATAAGTAGATTCTGACCTCTAAAACGTACCTGTTAAGCAATGCATGATTTGCCTTTATTTCTCAATATGACAATTGTTTGGAACAGAAGTTAGGTGTGTGTCTGTGTCACTGGAAATGTTTTTATATTGCCCTCACTCATTCCTCAGAGCATTTGTTGTGAATTTGTGATAAGGAACTATTATGATATTCAATCAGGAAGTGGGATCTGTAGGTCAGACGCAAACAAAGTCTGAGGCACAAAAGTATTTACAGCTATATTTTTTCCTATATGCAACATCTTTTCACTGCCTCCTGAGAAAATTACACAATTATTTGCCTTGCCTTTCCTGTTTGTCAGGGCAGTTGGCATTGGGAGATAAAGTTAATTTGTTGCTATACTATTGGACTATTTCTGTTTACTGTTTGAGCTGTGTGCTTTGCAAACTACCTTCAGAGAGAGATATGTGGAGTAATGTTTGTCTGACATGGGTTTTGGAGGGCAGGGTTGTTTCGACAGAAGTTGCAGAATTTGTGTGCTGACGTTTAGTATCTTTATATGTAAAGAATAGACATTTTCTTTTGTGTACAAGCCTCTGAATCAGAATCTACTATGTCATCATGGGACACTAAAACTAAAAAGTTTATTTTTAATATATCTTCTCTTTATGTTTGTCTTTTTGAGATAATACAGTATAGAGGTCATTAAGGGGGAAGAGAGAAATGGAGGAAGAAATGCAACAAAGATGTCTACTCAAACCAGTGGCGTTGCAATTACATGATCAGCATCTTAAACCTCTAGGCCTCAACATCGCCCCTAAATCCCATTTTTAGGAGACTCGAGTTTGGATGGCACCGAATGAAAACTATAATATATAAATAAAACTAAATAAATAAATTATTGCTGCAAAAAAAAAACAAAGTAAATATTAAAATGATCAAACAGAATGTGAAATAAAAAATGTATTTACTGCAGGTTATAGGAGCATAACATGGACTGGCCCGTTTTAAATTCGTTGGTTCTAATAGCAGTTCAGATTAAACTACCATGCTAGCAGTTTATTTCAGTTAAACTTCCATTACTCCTTGATAGGGACTATAACAGTGAAAACAGTGTCGGTGAAATGTACTGACCTTTATGACTCTTAGGACCTTACAAAAAATATGAATTCACCTTTATTATAAAATAATGGTTGACCAAAAGGATCTAGGTTGGGTTACTCAAGCTATTCACAAACTCACTAAGTTTGTGTAGAGCTAACCCCCCTCCCTTCCCTATTTTCACTATCATCTGTCCAAGAAATGTGTAGAAAGTTTACATTGTTACAGCATTTAACAGCATTTCTGTGTATCTGCAACGTGAATGCATTGCAATTATGACAAGCTTACCCTCTGACAACTTGATAACAAGGAGCATCACTTTATATATCTTTTACATGTGTTACTGATTTCAGATGTGTTTTCAACAGACGTGTGTTTATTCTTGTTCATGTCTCTCTGTGCAACCACAGCACATGTAGACACAAATGTCTACCCATCCCCTAGAACAGACATCAATCATTAAAGACTTGGTCACAAAAAGTGACACTGACTGGACAATATCTTATGTTTAATTTATCCTTAGCTCAACAGTGACCTCCTGAGGTTTCTCCACAGAGACAAAACACTGACAGAGAGGACATTATAAACTCGAGGTGCCAAAGCATAGTCGCAACTGTTTTCAATAATGTAATAAACAATTTTTATGCAAAGCAAGTTAAACATTAAGTTAACATTAAGCAAATGTTCCTTGAATCAGGTTTATGAAGTCAATCACTGGGGCTGAGAGACCGACAGGCGGATATACAGAACAGAGGTTAAAACAGATGGCACTGAATATTCAAATTATATGCAATTACAGACAAGCAGAACGCAACAGATATAAACGACAACGTGTTTAGGTCTTCTACAAGAAACAGTCCATCTGCTGGATGTTCATTTGAATGCAGTTTTAAACAGAAAAATATTTAGAAAAGAAAAAGAAACGAACCAGATTAAAATGTATTTGAAGCAGAAGTATTTGTGTAGGATTTTTGACACAGACTACCTACAAGCTACATGTAAAAAATAACACAACCTATTCAGTGTCACACTGAATTCAACCATTATTTTAACCCTGAAATACATTGAGACAGAGACCTCATTTGCAATACACTAGCCGAGTGGTACAGTGGTTTCACTTAACTTTTAGGAGTAAGGATTATTATGAAATCATTAGCCACAGAAGAGGTGCAAATTTTCCAATAAATAGTGGCCAACAGATGGGTGAGATTATAGATTTTAAGTTTGTTTTTAGTATGTAAAAAAGGTGGATAAAATATCAGAAAAAAATGATTTATCATAGTTTCACCTTTATAGTAAGCTAACAGAAATAACAATTCTTAATTTCTGTGGTTTGTGGGTCAGTCTTGTTCAGAGCACAGCTGAGATGCAACTGTGAGAACAGAGGCAGCTTTAAATCCCACTGGGTCACTCACACTCTATTCCATTCCCACAGCGGCTCACCGTGATAGATGTAAGGATGCACTTACTGTATAGTGATGGTGCATTGGCTAAAAATATCCACCTATATATGGATTACTAAAGAGTCATAGAGGTCATGGGTACACAGGGTACACAGGGCACAAACTGGATAAAAACTGTAGCCATTCTACATTTGGATACAAATACATTTAGAATATTAATCTCAAAATGTGTAAAATGTGTGTTAAACATGATCAGAACGCACATTGGCTCCTGGTGAACAGCAGTATTTGGACCCTTTCCCCATTTCTCCACTAGAGGACAGAAGCGATCCATAAGGACACTGGAGCGGCAAACTGAGTGGGAAATGAGGAAAATGAGAGAAGCAAATAAATAAATAAATAAATAAAATACACGAATCAATTGGAATATTTTAAATTACAGATTTTCTATTATTAAGGCATGGTTGGACGGGAACAAAAATGGACACCAGCTGGTTTTATTACTTCCAGTAACCCTATTATTGACCTGAACTTCCCTGCTCAACCGGTTAGTTTTGGTTGCACGTTAAGGAAAAATATGCAGGGGACATAAAGGAAAAAAGCAATGCAAGCTATCTGACCTTTACACTGTTTATGTATTTGAGGGAGACCATTCTCTGTGCTCTGTTTCAGCAACTGTGCTTCACACTCATTTATGGACATATCCAGAGAGGGGATAGAGGGAGTACTAAATCCTGACTATTTCGGCTATTTCTGCTGCTGTGGCCATCTTTTACTGCACACAGACTTCAGCTCTACACAGTAACTACTGCAAAGTGTGATAGAAAAACATCTCCTGTTAAATGTTTCCTACTAAATTTTGAAGAAAACTAAATACAGTTAAAATAGTATTAGACTGAATGAAAACAAATGATTTGAATTTTTATTATAAACCATGCATCTTTCCCCTCATAAAGTATGAATTTATATTATATCTAATTTTCAGCAAACTTCTACCAAGTTCATAAAATAGTGTATGTAAAATATACATGGTGTTCAAGAGTTAATAATATAAATAATTTATCTGGCTGATATAATTAAACTAAAATGTGTCCCATAAATAATTCTGCTACTTTTTAATTTTAGGAAATTTTAACTTTCAAAAAATGAATGAATGAAGAGATTTTCAGTGCTGGTCAGATGGCATATGTCTTTATGTATCTGACATCTAGAGCAAATATTGTAAAGCTCCTGATGAACATGGTTTCTTAGTGGATCTGTTTGAGATGGTGGCTGGAGCAGCTAGCATGTTGTCTTTAGCTGCTAGGATAATCCAAGCCTGTTTATTCAACAGGATGAGCATGAATGTTTAAGCCCGCAGCAAACAAACAGCCAAGCCCTCCCTGAGGATTTCAGCTTAATGCTAATGATATACAGTAAGCAGTAACATTTTTTCTACAGGTTAATGAACTGGGTGTTTGTAAGCCAAGCGAGAGATTTCCATTTCAACTCCGCAAAAGCTGATGTGAGAAAATGACAGATTGTCACGATAAGCTTAGTTTTAGCTGTCATTGGCTTTCTACAGAGTCGATACTCATTTATGTTCCAGTGCCTTTCCTACTTTGATCCTCATGTTTCTTACAGCTGACTGTCAAGAAGAGAGGCCCAGCTAAAACACATGGCTGACCGACTCAAATCCGATCTTTCTCTTCTACGCAGCTGAGCCTCCTGCAGCTCTTTGCTCACAAAGGAATAATGAATGATTCAGGGTGATGAAACAGGAGGTCGCTACAGAGTTCACACCCTTGTTTCAAAAAACCCAAACGTGACCCATCAATGCAGCGGGTACATTACTTATTGAAAACAGACAGACAAAGCAGTGCATTCAACACCACAGCGGTCAGAACTAACTTTAAGGATGGGCA